TTTTCATTTTAAAAAGATTAGTATTACACCAATCAAGTCGTAAAATGTAAAAACACATATAAAATGCATTGAAAAACATTATCATTACAAATCAATCACCGAAGGAATCCATTTAACGCATTGAATAAAACAATCTACTTATAAAGTAATAAACCAGCCATAATACGCGAACCCAATAACAGATTTCGTGAAGCATAAATCGCAGACGGCCTCCCGTTATTCACCGCCGGTATATTGCTTTCGGAACAAGGATATTTAAATTGTCAGTCAAAACTAGTCTTTATGCCCTCCCGCTAAACTATATTCACACGGCAAAGTTTATTTTGCAGTTTTTAACGTACGCTTTCATAAATCCCGAAACATCCTGACCGCGGGTGAGAACATCAACGTGTGCACACAACAACTTGTGAAAATTGCTTCCTAACATTTCAACGTGAAAAGTTGCGATTGTAGTGGGGACGCCAGATTTACGAGTATAAGTTATTTGATGTACCAATCACAGTGATAGCATATAAGAGCCGAGAGAGAGTACATGGGAGCCGTTCCCGTAAATTTACGACGTAGTTGTGTGGACATTCCGGGCAAGATAGCATGACGTATTTACTGGTGGTAGGTCGTTAGAGGTCGCCGTGGCCTAAAGAGAAGGAAGGATAAGAAGACCGCTGTACTCATACCAACTATACCGTTGCTAAAATCCCGTAAACAGGTTTTAATTTTTCCTAAATTACATGTAGAACGACATCCACGATGAAGGAAAGTGTAGGAAGGATTGTGTATAAAAAATTAGACTGGCGGTTTTTAAATTTCCGTATTAACCTGTAGTTGTTTTTGTGATTGAGAGATTACTGGTGGCCTGGAGGTCTTTCCAGTTTCACCAGGGCAGGTGGGCGAGCAAAGGCTCGGCCAAGAGTGGTGGATCTTGCTAACAGCTACCCGAGCGCCTACAAAGAATACCTAACAATTTAAGAGCAACTGATGCGCGAATGAATCTCCTACCGAATCGGAATCGAGACCCGCTAAGAAGATCCGGCGAGAAACTCAGCGGGCTGATGCTTAGGTTAGGTTAACCTGTATTATTGCGGAAGCATGCAGTGGTAGCGATTTTGAACCGGTGGTAGATTCAGCGAAGAACTGTGTTTGTTAGGGCTAGTGTTAGCAAAATCTCTCAAGTTGAGCCCGTGAGCTCACCTACCCAACCGTTCTTAGCTGGAATATCCCCTTAAACTTCCAGCGAATAGGTAGGGAAAAAAAATGTGAGCCGTCACGGGACGCCTGGCAGATGTGAAACATCGACATTATTTTGTAAAAGTAATATGCAGAAAAGAACAGATTGTGATAGGAACTAAATATGTCCCAATGATAAAATAAAATATTACGAAAAAATAATTTGTTTTCAAGTAAAACACAGGTTATGTGTACTGCAGTAAACAACACTGTATACACTACGGAGTATACACTATAGGTATCCGAGCTCAGTGTAGCGAGAGAGATGGCTTAACGCCGGATCGAGTGGGAGAGAATCGCACAGTCGATTGCGCATGGCGACGCGTCGCCACGGCATGCGTCGCCACGCCAGAAATCGGTCTTACGTGCGGCTATAGGTGTTTCACATCAAAAACTTTAGGGAAGGTAAAAAAAAATTTTTTTTTACTTGTGAGCACACAATGTCTTTCCAGCAGCAATCACGCAAGTTTGATTTTGTTACACGATGCTATACAATCGTCGACGACGCCGTTAATGACACAGAAGCCTATATTTTCTGTAAAATAATACGCAAGCCCCAAATTAAACTTATGCCATAATCGAATATCTACGAATACAGTTTTATAACAAAACCAAAATAATTAACATTCAAAAATAAATTATTCATGACCAATTCCAGATACTAACTAAATTGTTTTTTCTTAAATCCGTTTTTAGATTAATGGAATATAAGAATGGTCGCTCTATCTGAACTTGCTACTCTTTTAAGATATTTCTATGTAAATAACGTTCAATATTTTTTGTGAAACTCAATTTGTTATCATAACGTTTTTCACAGTCGCTTTAGTGAAGAATACCTTAAGCCTTATATTTCACTTATGTTTGTCTAATTTGATTTTGTTTAACGATTATGTTATTTAACACGCTAATGAGAGTATTGTTCGTATATATCATAATTGAATATAAAAATATTTAAGTGGTCCTAATTGATGATAAATGATCTCCTTAATCAGATAACCAAGGCTGACAATACCCGTGTTGATTTATAAGGTCTCTCTGATCTCTGATCTCTTGAATTGAATTATCTTTCGATCGTTCTCGAAATAAATTAATTATTAACTTCTTTCTCGTACTATAAATAAAATAAACTGGAACAAACTAAAATACTTTAAAACACAACAGATTTTTTTCAAAAAAAGCGTCATAAACGTTTTGTGTTCCACACAATGCACTGGCCAACAAACTGTTTCAAACGGAAGCGATAACAAGAGATAATTAACTAAATCCATCCCCAATAAAACGGCCCGTGATACAGAAGGCTAACTTTATACATTCATTAAGTTTGATGCATTTTACGGCTGGCTTTACATAACGAGCCACAGTTATAAAAGGGATAACACAAGGATTTATTGCAGAATTATTGCGAGCCATGTTATATTGGCCTTTCGTTGTTACAATATGCTTATTGCTTCGGTAATGTGACGCATTATGAATCCGAAGTAAAGGTCACGGCCTGTTTTTTTCTACATTATCTGCCCAGTTTTATCGCTTTGTTGCTCCCAAAAGAAGTTTGGAATGCCCGTAATGATGTTCTTAAAACGAAAATAAATCTTTGACCTCTTTTCGTGTCTCAATAACACATCAAGCCTAAAATAAAACCTGTTATATGGCTAATCGGAAGTATGTGCTCAAAACAAGACATACCTCGGACAAATACAGTGTATTCTGGGACAGAATTGCCTCTTAGCATTGTCAAATCGTACATTCATAAATTCATTCATACATCGTACCTATGATCTAAGGATCCAAGGATCGCAGCAGATGGAGGGAAATCGTATGGGAGAAACTGATGCAGCGGAGGAGTCACGACCCTCAGTAATAAGGAAAACGACGCGAGGAGGGAGGACCTATGATAGAAAGATAGATATGATAAAAAACTTTAAATGTTTAAAAAAATACACTTCATGTATATTGCTCTATATTATACTACTTACCTAAATGTGTTGTGGAGTTTCACATATTTGTTATTTGTAATTTGGAACAAATGAAAAACGGGTATTTTCATTCAATTAGTTGAACCAGCCGATTTGTAGATTGGCTGTTACGTAAAATCATAGGCTAGCGAACATATTGTTTTGTTTATTATAGCATATTTATTTGGCGCTGTCTGGGTCGTATCGTTTACCACGATAACAAGAATTCTACATGTTGGTCCATTTTATAAACTATGTATATACGAAATTCCATTTTTCATCTCCATCTTCGAATTCTATCAAATTTCATTATTCAATCGTCTGTTTAGAGTTTAATGCGATTAAATAACAAACATGAAAACTTCATGCTTTAAATATTCTAATAGTAAAGATAATCTACTTTTTACTTAGCGGTAGACAGCGGCTTGGCTCTGCCCCTGGCATTGCTGAAGTCCATGGGCAACGGTAACCACTCACCATCAGGTGGGCCGTATGCACGTCTGCCTACAAGGGCAATAAAAAAAAAAAAGTAACGTAACAATATCTGAATCGAACCTGAAATGAGAGAGAGAGAGAGAGAGAGAGAGAGAGAGAATGACGTTACTACTAGTAACCAAAAGTAAGCCATATTTGTCATTGCTCGTAAATTAATTTGAATGAAAACATTAATAGATGTTACTGGTGGTAGGACCTCTTGTGAGTCCGCACGGGTACACACCACCGTCCTGCCTATTTCTGCCGTGAAACAGTGATGCGTTTCGGTTTGAAGGGTGGGGCAGCCGTTGTAACTATACTGAGACCTTAGAACTTATCTCAAGGCAGGTGACGGCATTTACGTTGTGAATATCAATGGCCTGCAGTAACTACTTAACACCAGATGGGTTGTGAGCTCGTCCACCCATCTAAGCCCAAAAAACAAAGAAAAAAAACGGTACGCTGCTTATTAACTATCTAGGCACTAACCAAGCTCGACTTTTGTGCTTCATTTAAATTGAATTAAAAATGTATTCTGTCTCATTAAATAATGTTTGCTATCAACCTTTTCGGAGAACACTGTATTTTAATGTTAGATATTAAGGACTTTACGCTTTTTGCTGTAATAGTGACTTAAGGCGCTTTGTAACCGAAATGTGAAATAAGCTTTGTACTTACTCATCGATCGACTTTAAGTTCAAAATAACGTTTCATATTTGATGGTACACTTGAAATTATTTTAATTCTGTTCATATTATTTTAATGTTAAAACATTCATCTACTAATATACAAATTCATTTTGAATTTGATGTTATAATTGAGAATGTACAGTGACTGAGTGAGAATGCAACTTAACGAGGTTCTTGAAAGAACCCTCAGTTGCTGCAACAGTCCATTGCTGTACCTGTGCTGATGTCTATGAATAGCCAGTGATTACCCACTATCTGGTCGGGCAATTACATTTCTCTCATTCTTGGGCTCGATTAAATTTCATAGTATAAGAAAAAATTCATAGTCCCAGAAAAAACAAAAACGTTTTTAAAATGAGCACTTTTAATACGTGCCACGTAATTTCTTATTTGTGTTCATCTTCTCCCCGGAGTCTTAAAGCCGACGACCTAAAGAATATCCCGAAGAATCCATCATTATTCGCGGTGAAGTGAAATTAATTGCGATTACGAGATAATACGTAACCGGGTCACGTAAAGGGTTCAAAAGGGTGTTTCCTCGACGCCCTCAAGACTTCCGAAATCTCATTTTTGAGAACTTCTTTATCTTGTTAGGCGGTTTTATGTGTATCATATAAATTATGAAATTTTCTGTTTTTCTTTTTTCCAGGAATAATTGACGATGAGGACTACTTTAGAAAAAGCATACAACGCTACACAGGTAAAAAATTTCATAAAATGCTATTGTCACCTAGAACACAAAAAATACAGTCCTTATTAAAGTGTTGATGGTCACTTTAAATCTTAATCTTATATCTGGAACCACGAAATATTCCTGACAGACTCGATCGTGCAGTAATTAGCAGTAAATAGTCCTTGACTATTGCGCCGCAGGTCGTGGGATTCCCACATCGGTCAAACATTGTGTGATGAACAGGTTTGTTTGCTCTTTGCCTGAGTATTAATTATCTATCTATGTGTAAATTTGGTGGTACTCATAACAGAGAATCGTAATGGACCGGACGACCGTGCGTGCTTTGTTCGCAGTTATTATTAATTATCTATTATTATTGAGCTGTTGCATAGTTTTTATCGCGAGCTTTGAGCGCGGGGACCGAATCAAGAAATTCCGTAACGAAAATAAAACCTAACACCGCCCACTTCGCCTATCACGTTGCGCTTGTGATATGTTTGTGAATAAGCGCGCGGCGTGACACTGCATGCACATCATGAAAAGTCTGCCCATCTCTCTCTCGCGCGGTCTAGCTTATGAGTGTGAAGGGGACAGTTAATGTTTTGCTTTTGTTAACGTTTATAAATATAGCGTGGTCTTATTTTATTATTAAATTATTATTGTCTAATTATAATTGCATAAGTTGATAAAAAATGCTATGCAATAGCTTTACCGCGGCAGTCTCCGAGTGCCACACGTGTTTTTTATTCAATCCTCATCCCCCAACTATTTTCGTGTAAATAAACCAGATTATATTCAATCTTAAATATGAGCCGATCCGTATTTAGTATTCGAATAGAAATGAGCAATAACGAACTATATGCCTGTATTCATTTGCCTTTAGAATCAGATGGATCAGGGACACTGATAAATGATAGGACGAACTGAATGATCTCCGGGTAGTGGTTTGGTGTTTTAGAACGTTCGCTGTTTTCAACCTTCTAAATGTATACTACATACTTCGATAAATTAAAATTACCCTTACCATAGTATTTTCTTCGGATTTTGCGAGTCGTAGACATAACTACTCTCAACGATACACGTTTTAGTATCACTATTTTATTTGTAGCGTTTTAAATACTTTACAATTTCTATGGCTAAGTATTACAAACGATAGAAATAATATAATGACAATGAAAAAATCGTGAGGTTCATCCTCGTAGTATAAAAGTAGTATTTATCGCTCTTAAAAAGTTTAGGTATCGTTCGAATGCTTTCAAAAAGAAGGAAGATCCAATAATAAAAAAATATTGATTTATCACTGTCATCTCTGTTCTTTCGAAACCACTTATTATATTTTTAATGTAGGCGGGACATACAATTTCATGGCCCACCTGATATAAATGCCAAAGTCCATAGCTATGTGAACATCACAATAAGAGAAGATATTATTTGGATATTATTAGCTATGCTAGAGCCATTCTGGAGGATTTTTGAACTGCTATTTAGTGCTGAAAGTGGAACATTTTTTCAAGCTTGTCCCATATGAGAGGCTCTCCTTACCTCTACCCTCCATAGTATACTAAACAAGGGCATCAGTATCCATCGTATCGTCCTAGTCTATGGGCTGATCATGTTTGGTATTTGGTAATTTTGTTACAATTCTACTGATTTCGTTTCGAACTATTAATTTTCTATTCGCAAGGCCAAATGAAGAATCTACTCGAGTCGTTTGTCACACACGACAAGTTACGAGACACGTTAAAGTTACACCCATGCGAGAGGCACCAGGCGCGCTCCCTTTAACTTTTGTCAAAGTTGTAAAAGAAAATTACATGTAATTAACTTTACTGTTTGTAGGTGGTGTGCGAAATGTTTATTAAGTTATGACAGATTACGTTTTACTGCACGCATTGTTGCTGAAGCGTAACGATCGTTCCTAGAAGTTTGAGATTCATAGCTGCCACCTGGACATATTTGAAAAGAACACCAAAATCATAAATTTTTTGAACCAGGACAGGAAATATTATGACATTCTGTATCTAAAACAAAATATGGCCTAGCGTTTTATTATGGACGCTTTTTCATATCATAAGGATATATTTAAAAAATCTCAAAGATATTGATAATGTAAGACTTATTTAAATATTTAAAAGTAACATCAATAAAAAAAGTCTTTCAGAATAAAAATGTGAATTGCAGTGTGTAGCTGCTTTCCCACTTTGCAAACCGAAAAACATAACTACTTCGCGTTATAAGTAGGCAGAAATACCGACTTGTACGATATTATTACTTTTTTTTTATGATTGAAGGATTACTGGTGGCCTGGAGGCCTTTCCAGTTTCACCAGGACAGGTGGGCGAGCAAAGGCTCAGCCAGAAGGGGTGGGATTTGCTAACAGCTACTCGAGCGCCTCCGAAGGAGACCTAACAACTCAAGAGCAGCTGCTTCGCTAATGAATCTACTACCGGATCGGAATCGCGACCCTCTGAGAAGATACGGCGAGAAACTCAGCGAGCTGATTCATGGGTTAGGTTGCACGGCGAACTCTTTGTCGAGTTCGACGAGTGCGGCTACCGGGGTCCCTAAGCCTGCTCCTAGTGTTAGAGCTGAAGGCGTCTAATGCAAAATATTATTACTATACACCCTATCTCCCGTAAAAAGCAACCCCCATGTTTTTAAGCAATTCGTAACATTTTTACTGGTGGTAGGACCTCTTGTGAGTCTACCCGGGTAGGTACCACCACCCTGCCTATTTCTATCGTGCAGCAGTAATGCGTTTCGGTTTGAAGGGTGGTGCAGCCGTTGTAACTATACTTGAGACCTTATAAATTCTATCTCAAGGTGGGTGCTGCATTTAAGTTGTAGATGTATATGGGCTCCAGTAACCACTTAACATCAGGTGGGCTGTGAGCTCGTCCACCCATCTAAGCAATAAAAAAAAAACAAAAAAAAACGTGTCGTGTTACCTCGTAATAAACATAATGAACTGAAGGCACGCCCGCCTTGCGCTATCTCTTACAACTATTATAATGGTGTGCTCATCAGTCCGCAATGTGTACGAACGTTTAGGAATAAGATCGGCTATGTCAGCCACACACAAACACACCGTGACAATTAGAAACGGAGTGGAAGTGGTCGCCGTTGACGAAATTGGCTAAGGAGAGTAGTAGTGGGTACGAGTAATAGACATAATTATTATGTAGATGTCACACTAAATTGAAGACACTCCAAAGTCGAAGCAAAAGTGTGTTAATATTCCTTAAACGTTTTTAAATATAAAAAAAAGTAACAATAGATAAATTAATCCGGTCAGAAATCTGCAAATTTTCACCGAACATCTTCCCAATTTCACGGTGGCGAAGATTGCTGCCGCCCTTAGCAGATAAGCCTAAAACATGACGGCATTACTTAAGACGACAGATTTTATTACTATGCCGTTTCCTTTTATGACAACAAAATTTATAGCCTGAACAAATGCCCACTTATTTCATTTTTACGTCGGCCAAGTCTTAATTTTTACTATGGATCACCCTCATTGCTTTTTTCAACGTCTGGTGATGTTTTAGTGTTGCCGTAATCGTTAAATCATGCCTTGGAGATACGAAATATTCATACAACGTCCTCAAAACTTAATTGTCATTTATTAATCCTCAGGTTCGGGTTACGGGTAATCGCAAAGTTAACGACATTAGCAAAAAATATTTTTAAAATTAACCACATAAAATTACGTACGTATTTGCGCACTAAACACACTAAATGAGAGCGGTTAGAAGACCTCTCGTCTCGACACTATCCAGGAAATTGTAAAATCAACTTTCGAACGATCTAATTTCCGGGGAAGAATTGCTTTTAGGAGTTCTAAATTAAAAGTTGAAAATAGCACCTTTAATAACTCGCAAGGCTTGCCTAGCTGATTTTCCATTACTCGCCAAATGAAAGCTGGTAAACCGCTCGGCAGGTAAGCAAACAAAATAAACCGCTTCGTTCAAATACCTTGTTTCCATGATGTAAATAGCGTATAAATCAAGGGAGCGGTTACCCGTATTACTTCTGCAACTTTAGTCAGACTATAAACAATGCTCCCGGAATGCAATTCAAGTACCTTAATAAGAAACGAGAGAAGAGAGAGAGAGAGAGAGAGAGAGAGAGAAGAGAAGGTCAAACAATTCTATCTCTCATCAACTGAATGATCATTGTTCTATACTCTTCGTATATACTGTGTTACTTAAAATATTTTGTATTCAAGTTTAACAATATTTGCTATGTGTATGTGCATTATTATAATTCTCTAATTGTATTTGTTATTTTAGCTGTTCTACACACACTCATCACTTTTAATTATTATTCTCATAATCCTCTCGCAGGTCTGCTGGAAGAAATTTCTTAAAGAAATAAGCAGTGCTTTTGTATATAATTTTCCTATTACTCCATACTATGTCTTCTTTTTTGTGCGTACATAAATAAATAAATAAATAAATAAAAATTAAAAAATTAGAATCGATACAAAGCTGTTTCTTAGTTTGTCTTTCCACTTAACGGCCCAAAGATGTTTTCATTGTATGAAACGGTTTAATGGCATGATTAACCTTTTTAAAAGAAGACAATGATAAGCAATATAGTGAACTGCTTATAAAAATAAAAAAGTCATTGCTTAGAGCATCGCAACATCTCAACATTATTAATATTTCGTACTAATTTTAGTGTAATAAAACTGAAGTCAAGGCTAGAGTCAAGTGCCGGCTATCTTATGTGAACTAAAAAACACATGATTACTTCATAGATTGTTCTATAATATTCCATGAAAACATATTGTGTTCATAATATATATGTATTACCTACGTTATACATATATTTTTCTTTTAACTTCCAAACATCTTATTTTACTAAATATTTATTTATGTTATTATGGTAGTTCACTTTCGATTCGCTTCGTTCGATTTCATTCCGTATAAATTCTGTGAAAGTTAAATCATTTTCTATGTTCACATAATGTAATAAATATTTCTCTAAATTTCGAAATATCCTAGCCTTTTTTTGACTGTTCATCTCATTTATCATGAAGCAACTATCGGAACCCATCACAATGTTATTAACGTCATCCACCTCGAGAGGTTAGAGAGAGAGGGAGAGAGAATACACTTTATTGCACACCAAAACACAATTTACATCAAAAAACAGTCAAAAAGCAGATACATTTGTACAATAGACCCTCTTATCGCTAAAAGCGATCTCTTCCAGACAACCGTTTAATGTACAGAAATTCCGTAAAATATAAAAATATAGCAGGTATGTTGCAGTGTACTAAAGACAATACATTATTATACAGAGGTTAGTTAATCTTAAATGGATTAAATACAATGCTGGCCGCATCCTCCCCGTGAGGGCACGAGCACACATTAATCCTCATATTGATTTACTTAATAATATAGATGACGATTACTCTTATCTTACGATTATACTCAGTACATTCCAATTTTTTTTATATTACCTCTGTAGGCAGACGAGCATACGACCCACTTAACATCACCAGCTACGTCAGTAATGTCCGGAGCAGAGCCAAAACGCTGCCTAGTGCTCAGTACTGTCCATAAACCTCATTTGACGAAAGATATAACGGTCACGAATCATCAACGAAGGGACTTCATTCCGAAGCCGGTTGGTCCATAGTAGAAAATATCACTGGAAACGCACTGTGGATGAATGCAGGGGTCCAAAGTATTACGGATAAACTATGCTGTGATGGCAGTCAGTGCTATAGTATTTTTTTTTATTGCTTAGATGAGTGGACGAGCTCACAGCCCACCTGGTGTTAAGTGGTTACTGCAGCCCATAGACATCCACGACGTAAATGCGCCACCCACCTTGAGATATAAGTTCTAAGGTCTCAAGTATAGTTACAACGGCTGCCCCACGCTTCAAACCGAAACGCATTACTGCTTCACGGCAGAAATAGGCAGGGCGGTGGTACCTACTCGTGCGGACTCACAATAGGTCCTACCACCGGTGATTACGCAAATTATAATTTTGCGGGTTTGATTTTTATTACACGATGTTATTCCTTCACCGTGGAAGTCAATCGTGAACATTTGTTAAGTACGTATTTCATTCGAAAAATTGGTACCCGCCTGCGGGATTCGAACACCGGTGCATCGCAACAACGAATGCACCGGACGTCTTATCCTTTAGGCCAGGACGACTTAGGAGTCTTTAAGACTCGTGAGGAAAAATAATCAGTGAAAAAGATCTCTGATGAAGATGAGTGACTCGTAATGTGAATGAATGCAGAAGTTCAAGATACGACCTGGAATAAATTCAATGAACTAATCTATCCAAATGTGAGAATAAGATAAAGGGTTCATTGTAGTAAAGTGACGTGTTGTATGCAGGTCATCATGTATTTACGTTATTGACATTAGCAAAGTTGAGACTAAATTTATAATTGACTGACTCGGTGGTGTATTAGTTCCCGCCCCTGACTGTTGCGCCTCGGGTCGTAGGTTCGATTGTGTGTCGACAAACATTCTGTGATGAACAGATTTGCTTGCTCTTTATCTGGGTGTTTACTATCTATATATCGCACATACGGTACTATACACTTATGCGTTTCTTGTTAAAACTGAACTAAGTTTGAGCAAATCCATTTTCAATATCTTTCTTCTTCTTCATCTTATCCTTTTTTACTGAGCCGGCTTTAAGTGATTACCGGCTTCCACAGTTATCACAACATGAACGCCGCCACCCACCTCCAAAAATAATGTTACAATTGTATTGTATTACAGAAATAAGCAGTGTAGTTTATAATAAACGAATTTAAAACGAATGCGGGCATATTTTTTATCACACTATTTTATTCCTTCGCAATGGAAATCAGGCATGAACACTTTGTTAGGTACGTATTTCCTTAGAAAAGTGGTCCAAGTATCTACCTGTTGAATTTAAACACTGATATAATAAATAATAATAATAAACATTTATTCCAAGTCTAAATTACAAAACAAAGCAACAAAAAAAAGAACAGGAAACATACTAAGACTTTTAAAAGATTCAATAAATTAATTAAAGATTAGTTAATGCCTAACAATCACAAATCAATTCGTATTGCGGCGCTGATCCTCCGTCGGTACCTAGTATCAGACCGATCAATCATTCCTTCCAGTATAGCGTGTTCACCTTTTGTTTTACAAAAGTCAAACGTCACATCAAGTTCCCTTTTATTTTACATAAGTCAATAATCACATTAACGGATCAAAAGAACAATACAAAATATAATGATCCTGGTTTAATCATTTTAATTTAATCATTTTAATTTTTATCGAACAGAAGCTATATTCAACTGATGTATGTTAATCTAAACTAATGTGTAATGATACACATTAGCACATTTATTATTAAAAAATACAATATGTTTTAAATATAATAAAAATGATAATTCGAATAGTAGTTTAGATTAACATACATCAGTTGAATATAGCTTCTGTTCGATAAAAATTGTAATATACAATGACATAGAGGAATAATTATTGAATTAATATTGATAACCTATTACTCACAGAAGGGATGAATAATTAAAATTATTATTATTAAACTTTACTTAAATATTCAGAAGATACGCTTTTAAGTTTAGTGTTTAATATAAATTTATTTGTACATATCTACAACCAAAATAATTTTAACTTTCTTTAAGCTACTGACGACTCATTTAATGACTATTTCAACGGTTAGAGCAATCAAAAGGTCTGCTCAAATGACCTATTTAACGAAAGACATTTCAAGTTTACTGGGATTGAGTTCAACTAAACATAGCTTATTAAGCACTGGGTTAGTTAAAACAATAATGAATGAACCAAGAAAAAGCGATCGTCCTTTGTCCTACTGAGTTTCTCGCTGGACCTCCTATGTGAGTCACATGGTAGACTTAGCGAAGCACTATGCTTTCTAGGGCTAGTGTTAATAAATTTTCTCTCTCAGGTTGAACCCGTGAGCTCACCTACCAGTCCGAACATAAGTGGAATAGCCCCCTAGACTACCAACGATTAGGTAGGGAAAACAAAAAAACAAACATTATAGAAATTCTTTTACCGGAGGTAATTTAAGTTACTACGTTTCTCTGCCAAGCAACGCACAAGAAATCCCAAGCCCCTTTCGGTTACCTTTTTTACGTACGCGTTGCAAAGTAAAGATTTTTTAAATAAATTTTTATTCAAAACCACATATTACTCAAATTTTAATTTAAAAAATCGGGATAATCGGAAAAAATGAGATTAGAATTAGAAAGACAGCAGCTACTTATCCCAATTTATTCGAGTGCCAATCTGTGATATCGTCCTCTTCTGCAATTCAGGTTCTGCAAATAGAAGCATTTTAAATCGATTTAATTTAAATGTTTATATATTTTCTAATATTTTAATACCTTTTTATATATGAAATAAAAAATCTTAATACACCCTTTGTTACAAGATAAGCCTTTTTTTATTACGTTTATTTAACATAGGATTCGCCAAGTCGACTGTCTTTAACATCAGGCGATAATAAACGCGAGTACACTAACTCAAATAGATGAGTACGTTATTATCGTGAGTATGCAGTATTTTTCTCTGCAAGCATTGCTTCAGTGGGAGTTAACGAGGAAGTCAAAACTCAGAAAACAATATGTTCAGACAATATCTTTCTCGTTAATGTCACTAGATAAAGCTCTTTCGACCACTTGCAAATAGTAGTTGAAATACTAGCACAAAGTACATAGTTTAATTGCATTTTGTCAACATGTCATCTTTGTAGAAAAATAACATTTAAAAAAAACTAAAGCTGGCCCTTTGTTGCTTTTACGAGTGAGTTCGGGGAAAATACAGAACTTTCTAACCGTCTTTTATTAATTGAGTGTCGACACACACGGGCGGAGGTAGAGGTGCGACGCAAAACTCTAATCTGAAACTTCTTAGTTCCGCTGTCGTAGGTACGTCAAGGCTACTCGGAACTACATTTAAGTTGCTTGCTAAGAGGCGACCTAATTTTAATACTGCCTGTAATAAAATAATCAATGTTCCTCATAATCTATTTAGTTCAAGCACAAGTAATAAAATATTATTTGTGGAAGTGTACGTTGATAAGATGAATCTTATATACTTTTGTTCTTTGTTTGGTACCTCATAGAATTCGTGTTTAAGTCGGAAAAAAGAATAGCTAAATTATTTATTGTTTACATGTCGACAGGGATTGAATGTGTCAATGAAATAAAGTGTCAATGTTGTTGTTGTTAGTCGGTTAGTTGGTTAGTTAAGGTTAATGCCAGAGACAAAGACGAGGTCAAAATCTCATTTCAATTTCGAGAACGATTGTCAGACTCTTTATGCCGGAATACGAATCTTTGCTCACAGAAAAAAGCGTCGTGCTCTTGTTGCTTTTCTATAGCACATCGAGTAAACCAGACCAGGTAGATACAATGGCCATAACAAGTACAGTAATGATAACAAAAATACATATATATATATATATATATCCATTACCATGAAGTACCCGATGAAGAAATAAATTAAGTAATGCGAAAAAACAACTCTCAAATAAAATACAATTTTACGTATAGCTCAGTCTACTTACAGCACGAGCCGGTAGTGGTAGAGCGGGACGCACATAAACCGGAGGACAAGCTAAAAGTAAGGTTAAAGGAACAAACATCTTCATAACAGGAAAGGGCACGGCTACTGTGAGCATCTCTGCAATCAGAATAATAATAAATTTTAGTACAGACAATGCCGTCTATTGGATCAGTAGGTAAAGTCAACATAATAAAGCGTAAGTGACAAAAAGAGATGGAGAAAGGCTATTTAGTTAGGAAACGGCAGCTGTTGACAAGTTGTGAGCTTTTCTACTGCCATAATATACAGTCCAGCCTACGCCCTGTCTGACTATGGGTGGTCGTCGTCCGGACATCAGCAAAGCTAAGAGCGCAGTCAAGTCAGCTCCTACCGAAAGTGAAACATATTGATACATAAGCGTAAAAGTGTATTATACCCAATCGGTTGCCAATTGAAAAAAATTAAGTTGAACAAAGTTGAGAACAGAGTGGTTGCGTTTAATTTTCCAAAGAAAATTTTAAGATCTATAATCACAGCAGGTGCATAATCCAAACATCTGTGAAAAAATTATTATTAGTGAAAATTTTATATTATAGATTTACCTTCATATATTCTAGCGGAATATCTTGCTGAACTGGAATAAATAACTTTCATGTCGGAACTGAACTCATCAGTCATTTCCCATACGTACAAAATTTTACCATATCTTGGTCCTTCAACAAATAATAAAACCGTATCGCCAGAATCTAAAACAAACCCTGTCAATAACTGATCCCGCTGCCCTGTTTCCACAGCTAATTCATTAACTTCTGTAATAATCTTTAGCGCAGATTCTATCGCGTTGTTATTACATGTCAAGGCAAACAGTCTTGAAAAGCACTCAGTTAATTTACGTGGTTGACACCCAACGACACCAATAGAAACTTCCAATGTCATTTGGGCTTCTAAAACTAGGCTTGGAGGTACCAAAAGTGTTGGTTTCAAGGTCCTTTTTACAGCATTGACATCGTTGGTGCAAAGGTCTTCACGTTTTGATTCTACAACTGATATCGTTGGCGGATATAATGAATATTCTCCTTTAATAAAGTTATTAGATGTTTTAGCTAACAATTGAGCATCAATTCTGGTGCAAGCAATCAAAACATCATCGTCGTTGTTTCTTTTTTTGGGCGGGATAGCAGATCCAAAATCTTTGTCAGCTTTCTCATAGCCAAATAGCATAGGCTTATTGTCATTTACAGTTGAACTCAAAATTCCTCGAAGCTAAACAGAGATAAATTTAAGTTCATGTATTTTAAAGTAATACAAATATTTTAGGAAAATATTACCTACCTCAATTATAAAAGGGAGATCTAAGAAAATTGCACAAATTTCAGAAGCTGATTCAAAAGTCATTGGTACTGCATGATGATCGTTAAAATTTATTGATTTCGTTAATTTCATTGTTTGCTGTTCAGAATCATGTCTTTCCTCTCCTAATTTCCAACGGGTATACAATTTTGATATTCTGAATGTATTGAAAAAGTAGTTTTAGTGTAGATATACATTTTCTACACGATTGATCCCAACAACACCCTGTATTAAAATCGAACCCGGTAAATAAAAGCCAGTGGGAGTCTTAATCTAACCGTAAACTAATCTTTGCTGATGATGACAAATAAACTTTTTCTTACAAAATAAATAAATAAAACCGATTAATGTAATTATTTATTAGGATAGGATAGAATAAGATAATTCGTCTAATCGTAACTTAAACCTCTGATAATTTACCTTAATTTTTTAAAGTCATTAACAGGGGCATCAAATAACTTTTCAATATTCACAAAAACTATTGGTTTGTCATCTTTAGCAGGTAAATTATTGCTTGACAACAAAACTATAACTTCACCTAGTTCAGGCGGTCTCTCTCCAGATACCTCAAAAGCAATGATCCTTCCAACACCTAAAGAAAATATGCCTATGATTCAAAACTTAATTTTCAATAAACACCAATTCTGTTCTAATTTTCGACCAGAGATTGAGCATCTCTAACACTAAATAGTCCTGACGATTCTTTCGTCTGAAATAATTCAGGTTTGTCGTACTTACATAATGGTCTACACGTTACAGTGTGTGTAAAATGATTCTCGAAGCAGATACGGAAAGAATCTAAAACCCTAATATAAATGAAAAACAAAATTTATTTACAAGGTAAAGTTACTTATCTAATTATATAAGTAGGTAATTTAGCAAACTCAAAGGGCAAGTAATACCCCATAAATGTTCATGTCTTCGTCTTTTAAATAATCGCCAATATTTCTGAGTACCTTCAACATGTGCCAAGTAGCGTGCGAACATTTTCAACAATTATGTGATTTTCGTATAGCTTAGCGGTATCCAGGGTGTAACTTAAGAGGCTAATTAAAACAACAAAATTATTATATTACCAGCCAATATAGCGTCACCAGTTAACTTTATCTCAAACTTCACTTTTGCTACATCCGTTGTCTTCTTCTTTTCTTTAAGTTTAGAATCACGCCTGACCTTATTTTTTGGTTCTTCAGGCACAATTACAGCATCTTCGGCTTTTTCAAATAAATTTCGATTTAATGTGGCTTCTCGAACATAATATAAAATTTTATCTTGCTGTCTCACATCTGTAATTTGTACAATTTAAAAACTGAAACATTTTAAATTATTGTACATTGGAAAATAATGAACATGTTAAATGTTTTACTATAAATCTATCACACATCTATTACCTATAAATATATAATAAACTATCATCTATTATCTATAAATATCGTACTTCGAAGACAAACAGATAATTATCGAACGAGGTCTATTTCGTTCAATTATATTATCCTCCGAACCTCGTCATTTATTTTATTCAGAGTTTATTTCTGTTTGATAATCAAAACATAATTATTATGAAAACATACATAAGCAGTATAATAATATATGCTTCGTAGAAGAAACAAACTGTACAAACCTATGGACTCGACATTATACTAATAATTTTTGTAATATAATACTAATTTTCATCAAAATGGCACGTTTCTCGCCCGGAACCGAGTATAAGATCCTCAGTAATAAACTATTCAATTCTTAATACCGATAAACATCGATATCATATTGATGACATTGAGATTATGTTTTAAAATTACCAAAAACACATGGCTTAAAACAAACTAAAATCTTTCAGAAATGTTTCTTTGCATACGTAGGTGGAGTTTACATCCCACGTTATATATAGGTCATGGTCAAAGAACTAAAAGATACAACAAGTGCAATGTCCTGTACTAATCTACTATGCTGTTAGTTGGAAACGAATTATAACGACGCGAATAGAGCTAAGATCATGATATCATTTCGTGCAAGCTCACAATAAATCCTACTGTGAGACATGCTATGTCTTAGGTACGAAATTACGAATATACATGATGAACATATAAGACTAAGACGAATAGTGAGTAGGTCTTAAAAAACAAAAAAATATCTGAGACATAGAGACCGTGATCGCATAATACTATATAGATATACGCACACGGATGCATAAATACATCATCACCGTCATCATTCTCCTTCCCTTCTCCCAGTCACCTGGGGTCGGCGCAATATATTTTCTCCTTCCATACTCCTCTATCATACCATTTCTTCGCTCACTTCCCTCTTACACATATCGTTTTTCACGCAATCCATCCATTTCTTCTTAGGTCTACGTCTTCCTCTAAAGCCTTCCACATTCATAGTTCAAACTCTCTTACCAAGCTCAATGATCACATGTGCACACAATCCCAAACGCGCACTTCTCAAATTCTCTGTCACAGGTGACACTTTCAGATAATTGCTTTACTGGTGGACCTCTGTGGTAGGACCTTTTGTGAGTCCGCGCGGGCAGGTACCAGCGCCCTGCCTATTTCTGCCGTGAAGCAGTATTGCGTTTCGGTTTGAAGGGTGGGGCAGCCGTTGTAACTATACTGAGATCTTAGAACTTATATCTCAAGGTGGGTGGCGCATTTACGTTGTAGATGTCTATGGGCTGTGTGTAAGTTACACGGCATTAATCGATTTTTGCGTTTATTATTTTTCTTGACAATAAAATGTTTACGAAAAAAACTTAATATGAGTAAATTAATTAAGACTGAAGAGGGAAAAGCAAGAAACAAAGTTATTAGTGGTAGTGGCTCGGGTGTGATTAATAAATAGTACGACTAAATCCAGTTCCATTTCTACGATTCATAATTATAATAAAGACAAGACACAGATGATTCAAAATGTACTGATAAGCTGAAAGTCTAGTAGAAGCCCAATAAGACCAAATCCAAGTGAAGAATATGATTTGAAGACAGTGTACACACAGAAATCTCGATCATTCCATAAGGAATCAATCTTTAAGTCCTACAACAAAAAAGGAATTAATTGTTCTGGATGAAGAGTCGACCGGTAATTTTTTTTACCGAATCTGGTGATCTGTCTTTGGACGATATTCCTATGAGTGAGTAACTTGATAACTCCGAATAACTAACCCTTTTGAATTCCGAACTTCTGAAAGATGTTTTATCATCACCCGAAAATAGGAATTCAATCAATCAATTTAGTACACCAACGAGTTCTTCATTTCGAAACACTGATGGAAATATTGGAATTCACTGCACACCGACATCATCTACTAAACGTAAGCCGCGAACGAATGGGTACTACCTGGAGCCACTGCGGTCATCCACAGTGCGTTTCCAGAGGTATTTTTTGTCACGTACCATCCGGCTATGGAATGAGCTCCCCTCCACGGTATTTTCCTAGCGCTATGACATGTCCTTCTTCAAACGAGGCTTGTGGAGAGTATTAAGCGGTAGGCAGCGGCTTGGCTCTGCCCCTGGCATTGCTGAAGTCTATGTGCGACGGTAACCACTCACCATCAAGTGGGCGGTTGCTCGTCTGCCTACAAGGGCAATAAAAAAAAACTTCACCACGGCCTGAAATCAACACTGAAGATATTGCTATGGAAAACTATAGCCATGATTATGAAACTTTATTGGTGCATCACGAAATACCTATGGACGATGGCTGTGCTGAAGGTTATGGGTATCAATAAAGTACAAAATATACTTTTTTACTGGTCTAAAAAGACAGGTTATCGAAATGAGTATATTATAAACATAACGCCAAGAGGTCGTTTCGATATTATTTTAAGATAATTTTCCCATCCCTAGCATTTTTTCACTTCTAGGCTATACGGCGAATATATAGCCGTAAATCAATAGTTTCTAAAAACCTCTAGATCTTTCAAAATATATTACAGAAGCTCAGGCGACAGCAGCTTGTTATACACAAGGATATATTCTACTAATATGTGAGAAAAAAAAACTAATACAAAGAATTTCCACGTCTGTAGGAACCCTAGAAGTTAGGTCTTGGTTTTTCTGTTACGGCAAAATAGAAGCCGTGACGCATATCAAGCAACAAGGGTACGGGCAGTATTTGTCACGTACCGCACTGGCAGTAAGTTTAGTTTTTAGGCTGCCGCAGTGAATGTGTTAAACAGAAAAGCATAAACTGCCTCGTAGCAAATTAATCAAGTTGATGATATTCGTTCGTTGGAGCGATAAATCAATATCATCATTTAAAAAGTAAAAAAATAAAATTAATTATAATCATGGCCTAAAAGATAAGACGCCTGGTACATGCGTATCGACTAATTTTCCTAATGAAATACGTACTTGACAATTGTTTAGGAATTAATTCCACGGTGCAATAAGAATCAAACCCGCGAAATTTATACTTAGGGTAAATACTGGTGGTAGGGCGTGTTGTGGGCCTGCACGGATATACCACAACCCTGTCTACTTCCGCCGTGAAGAAGTATGCGTTTCGGTTTGAAAGATGGGGCCCCCGATGTACTGTAAAAACTGAGACTTAGAACTCAAGTCGCAAGATTGGCGGCTTCATTAACGACGACTTAACACTAGGTGACCCCTCTTAGTAACAAACATAAAAAAATGTGTTTGTGCAGCTCACGTTCTGATCTCCACTTTATCTTTTGTTAGTTTGACCTGCATCATTAACAGAGCGATATTAATGTTCTTAATTAGCATTGATTATTACTTATGTGAACCTTGAGTGCTTAGTCCAATGTAATTCGATCACGACTTAAGTTTTCAAGCGACACACACATGTAGTAGCAGGGAAGTAGCTAGTAGGTTGATCGAAGAGGATCGAGACCGCGGTGCGCATTAACAGAACTCTAGAGTTCTGCTTTCTGAGAGTCTTGTGTACAAGAGCGATCAGTTGGCGATATGTCACATTTTGCTCCGGCTGGCTTGTTTTGGGTCAGCGGGGTATTTCGAAACAGCCCTGGCAGCGCTTGGGCGACCAGACGGGCCATCGGATAAAGGTTGTCCAAACAGAGTCATTGATTCGCCTAGACGACTCCGCCAACTGGGCGTCCTTGGGGTGAACCCCTGGATTTAGTTACTGCGATAACTCCTGGTTCGGCCTCGAGCGAGATTACAATGGGAGTCACTTAGCGGGTGTCATCTTACATTTGACCAATTCCGCATTCATCGTGAGCCCCCTCGGTGCGGGAAACTCGTAGAAGGTTTGACTCACAGTCCACAAAAAAATAAGGGAACTGGGTAATGAACAACAGTCTAATCTAAATTTTATACCAGCATATTTCGATCAGCAATCAGTAATCCCACACGGGAAATCATGTCTATGCTGCCCAGAGCAATCATGCGCTACAATTTGAAGCACCCTCAGCCGATACCCGATACATGAGACTTCAACCTTATGTAACAAAGTGGGTATCGCGACATTCACGTTTTAGTGTTCATAGAATTTTGTGGCCATTTAATACAATTAGTTTTCAATACACTACGTATTTATAAGTAGATAAAGACAAAAAAGTTAAATACCCCCGCGTGGGCGCACTCACTCCTTTACTCGCTCATCCCTGTTAAGCGGTAAGACTACACAAACAAACTTTTGGGTACCATTTTCTCCCCTATTTTTCAATCGATTTTCTTTTTCTTTTGTTTTACTCAGTAGCTATGGAAGACCTTGATTTACTAATTTCGTTTTTTGGAAATAATTTAATTCTCAATCTCACTACACAAAAACAAAAACAAAATCATCCAATAAAACTAAATCTTGAAACATCAGTGAGTATGGTCGATTTTCCATCAACCATTCATTCGTCATGATACAGTGTGTTGCTAAAGAGGCGAACTCGTAAGCCATGTCAGTAATTTTAGTTTAATAATTCTTTTAATTATTTCTAATACTGACCTTCAATAGGCTGTGGAATATCAAATGACCCATCGAAATGAGAAGATGGAATATATGTCTCCACGTTTTCCCATATGATTTTCTCGCAATAACTGCTAATACTTTCTTCACTTTGAAGCACGGGTCCGAAGAATCGGCGTTCGCCAAATTTCAAAACCGGAACATAAACTTCAAAATTCTTATCATTTTTCGCACTTAAACAAATTAGTGAGATGGATTCGTTTTATCAAACAGGCCTAACTAGTGCATACATACATTTCTTAACAATCAGTTAAATTTTTCGGTGGACCAAAAAATATCTAAATTTTCATATATCTTTATTTAGTACTAGCGACCCGCCCTCGCTTCGCTTCGGAAACATTAAAACACACATGAAATAAAAAAAATTAAAAAATAAAAAAATAAAAATTTAAAAAAAGTAGCCTATGTTCATCAGGGACAATGTCGGCTTCTAATGGAAAAAGAATTTTTCAAATCGGTCCAGTAGTTTCGGAGCCTATTCGAAACAAACAAACAAACAAATCTTTCCTCTTTATAATATTAGTATAGAAAAAAACGATTGTAGTAGTTTTTTACTTGCTTGCGGAAATATGCCCGATATGCGTATCTATCACGATTAACTGCCTTTTATTTTTGACAAACAACTATATTGCTGTTCGATAAAATATATACACATTTCCTTATCAGGTAAACAACTTTATTATATTTCCGTTGTAGGCCAACCTGATGTTTTGTAGTCGCCGTTATTCATGGATATCAGCAATGCCAGAGGCATAGCCAAGCCGCTACCTAATCCTCTAATATAACTAAGGTATATTATGATGTATGGGAACTCGCACACGCTGACTAAACGCTGACGCTGACTTTTGTGCGTTAACTGTAGCTATTGAAGCTTCAACTTCACATCTACGTTGCCGAGGAATTCAATGAAAATATTGAGGACATTAAGCTATTCTGTACTCAAGAAATTTCACGAAATACAAATTTCGCTTCAAACGTAACCTAAGAAAGGTATTGAGCTCTGCTTCGATGAAAGAGTGGGATTATACTAACAATCACAAACAAACAATCTACAGGGATGTTATTCTCTCAAAAAGTTTTGCATGAAAATATTGTTGAGTTTCATTTTTACGTCAAAATACTTTTTGTCGTGTTTACAATCACCTTTTTAACAGTACGTCATTAACGATTAGAAACGCTGCTTGACTGATGGACAGCTTTTGATAACCACTCGAAACTTAAAGTGAACACGCCACCGCATATAATCCAGTAAAAGGTTTTTCAACTATAACTAGACATCTACACAAGATTATACTATAGATTTCAACGGCAACTGTTTCGTCACACATAAAAATTTTGAGAATTCAAGTTCATTGATTAATTAACCAAAAGATTTTTGTTGGAACTTAAAATTACATTATGTAAGTACAACACCATTATTTCATCAAACCATCTACTAAAACTAACTTTGTTAGAACTTGCATCATTATCGATACAAAAAAAATATGTACATATATAAATATTTACTGGTGGTAGGACCTCTTGTGAGTCCGCGCGGGTGGGTACCAGCCTATTTCTGCCGTGAAGCAGTAATGCGTTTCGGTTTGAAGGTTGGGGTAGCCGTTGTAACTATACTTGAGACCTTAGAACTTATATCTCAAGGTGGGTGGCGCATTTACGTTGTAGATGTCTATGGGCTCCAGTAGCCACTTAACACCAGGTGGGCTGTGAGCTCGTCCTCCCATATAAGCAATTAAAAAAAATTACATTGCACTCAAAGCTGTTGATCCAGGTGTGACGACAACAGTGGCTATAAATTCACGTAGATCCTCCACTCTCACAGGAAAAGCATGTCGTATTGAAAAGCTGAGCCATCTTCGTTCTAAGAACTGCCAACATCTCACCCAACCAAACTTACTGCCGCACCAAACCTATCGGACAATGATACTATGCATTTCATTCAATGACGGTATAGTTAATAACAAAATTAACATAAAAAAAGTATGCAGCCTTCGATCGAAATTTGATTATAATCACTGACACCTCAAGATTCAAATTCATTTGTGCGTTACATTTTATCTTTTGTTTTGTCATGTTAAAAGAAAAACCATTACCATTGGTTACCAACAATCAAGGAAATTCACAAAGGAGAAAAGGAAGAAGGAGAAAACGGTACTTAAGTATTTTGTCGTTGTCTATTTATGTAAACAAGTAAATACAGATTCCCGTACGTGCCCATAATTATAAAAGCGTATAATTCACTATTCGAATCACCTAGCTATTTACTACCATACTTGATCCAGCCTAAACATCATTTCCTTTCCTTTTTACCATCACACCGACCGCCACCGGAGCAGAGTTCATTCATACTATTGGAGCCGCTGTGTTCATTCACAGTGCGTTTCCAGATATTTGTTTTGTCATGTATCACCCGGCTCTGGAATGAATTCCCCTCTACGGTCTTCCCGGGCGCTATGACATGTCTTTCTTCAGACGAGGTTTACGGAGACTCCTCAGCTGTAGGCAGCGGCTTGACTATATGCTGATTTTCACGAGGGACGGTGACTACTTACTGCTACACGGGCCGTATGCTCGTCTGCCTACAACCGCTATATTTAAAAAAAACTTAATAGACGCCAGCGTACATGCGCTCTTACTAATAATGACAGTTTATTATTACGATATGAATGTCAGTCTAAGAAGCGTATACATAAAATAATTTAGATTTTTTACAGAATAGCCTCAACAATAATTCTAAAAATAAAATTATATTTAACACAGTTACGAAAAAAAATAACGAAATGCTTAAAACATAATTAATTACCTTAGCTACGTGTGGCCACACTAGTATATCTAAGTCAAATGTCTGTCCGTGATACAGTTGATACTGTATTTTAAAGCCTTGCACAAATGTTCCGAGGTCCAATAATCCATTTTCAAAATCGTTCCATACATCTAAACCAATAATTTCAATGGCAAAACTCAGTGCAAACACACTCTTGCAGTATTTCGATAAATCAGCTGTCTGCGATTTTGTGTTGTTTTTACTCATTTGATTTGTATAATTAAATAAACACTGCTATTTATTTACTTTAAAAATCACCAAGTTTTCTTTTACTACGTTTAAAGTACGCTATTCAAAATTTATGAATAATATGAATAAATAAAAATACTTTTGTATCGGAATTAATACTTTAATAATATCAACGACAGGACGTACACATGTCAACAAATGACAATTATTAGAACCAAACAGAATTTAAGCCTGAAAAATGCCTGAACTAAATTATCGTATAACATTAACTGTTCATGACCTAAAAGCAGAAAGCTCTATGTAATCCCATCGAGTACACATACAACTTGAGGGAGCTCATATAGTCCCTTCTTTAATTCGCCGTAAAGTCGTGTTTTATATAATTAACACCACAGTTGAAACAATATAAATTTTATTGTTGTAGCAGCATAAACAATTCTAAGTAATTATATTACATTAGTTATCAAACACATTATAAATTATTTTTACGTTTTAAATATTTGGCGGTAAAAAGGTCCCGTGTCACAGACTATATTCTTTTTCCCACATCTCGTGCGTTCCGGCTTACGCATCATAAAAATGTGCGTTCATAAACGCCACAAACTTTTAACCAGTAAATACAACGTTAACAAAGGTGCTCTGTCGACTTCCACAAATAAAACTAATCAATCAATTCGTAATTATTAACAGTGATTGTAATTTTAAATTCTTAAATATTTAAAAAAAAAGGTTTAGGTAATTAGTCGAATTCCACTTATTTAAAAAAAAAGGTTTAATTAAACACACTCTTGACTATCAAATCACAAGACTTTTTCCTATCTCTCAGTTTGCAAAAACATTCGCGAGCGATTCTACAATTTTACAATAGTTGAAATACTCTAATAAAAAATTCAAGTTTCCTTTTAAGGTTTCAAGTAGATATTACGTTTCTGAAAACAGGAGATCTTTTGGAATCAGAAATAACGAAAAAAATTATCAGTTGACACTTCATTAATATTTATGTATTTTACATTTATTAAAATGCCGATGTACCTATCGGTCGTTACTATAAATACCTGCCGAAGCATACGTACATACCTATATTACTCGTATAAAACTTCAAATTATTATTAAAGTGGAAACTTTTTTCTCACCATAGTTATTTGTTAATGAAAAAATTACATACATACATACATACTTTTGAAAGTTTCACTTCTACCACGTGTATTTTGCATACATATTATTTACAATTTAATTTTTGGAGACTCCAATTTATTCATTACTAGCGACCCGCCCTCACTTCGCTTCGGAAACTGTAATTTATTATTGATTTCTCCACTATTTAATCGATGTTATTATACATATAAACCTTCCTCTTCAATCACTCTATCTATTAAAAAAAACCACATCTAAATCCGTTGCGTAGTTTTAAAGATTTAAGCATACATAGGGACAGACAGATATAGGGACAGAGAAAGCGACTTTGTTTTATAGTATGTAGTGATCATCATTAACATTATGTTAAGCAGCCGAAGACCAGGCTCAGTGATCTGAATCGAGAGAGGCCTACGCACGGTTGATGATGTTTTTTTTTAAATTCCCGAAACGAAAATCAGCAGAACGCCATTAATTCGAGGAGTATTTCAAAAAAATTTAAGGTTTTTAAGGACATAATTACTCTATACTAGAGGTCCTGCAGTAGTCGAAATTCAACTATAATTAATTGGAATTGTAAGTTTCATTGACACTATTATGATTGTATGTTATACTTCTATAATCAAAAATCACAAATTCACATCAATCACAAATTTCGCCAAGGCTACACTATAAAAAAATATTATATTAATAAAGACAAACAATATGTATTTAATCTATTCTCAATTTGACCACAGACGTCAAGAACAAAAGTTTCAATAAACAGTATGCATGCGTGTGTGCGTCAAATACATGGTATGTAGTATGTGCAATGTTTTCTTTATTGATTTAATGTATCTTTTATGCATTATTTCAAAATATATATTAGCATTGTGCATTTTTTCTCTATATTCTCTATAAGTGTGGAAAATTTCATACTCCTCCGTCCGCGCAATTTTCGTAAAAAGGGATACAAAGTTTTTGCTTCACGTATTAATATATAGATACTATTATTGTGCTGTATTGACAGATCGATTCAATCGAGAAACAAATATAATCCGTGAAGTTAATCGATTGTTATAATATCCGGCAAACTTCTTGAGCATTTGTTGACGTAGTGGGGGTAAGTTTGCGCATGGTACACTCACGTGCAAAAACATTACTTACTCTGCGTCATAATGCAATTAAATTATTAAAATCAACATATGTATTTTTTTATATATTTATTAGAACATCAACAAAAAATGTAGGTTAATAATTGTAATAATTTAATAATTTAATCTTTAATCTTAATTTAAAATAGATATTCCTTCTATTAAGTCAAAACTAGAGTTGTTGCCAGGTCTTGGTTCAGTTGAAGCGAAGCTGGTATTTGTATATTTTTTTTCGTTATCATAATCTTGACCATCATCATCATCACTGTTTTCATCACCCGAGTCGCTATCATCGTGATTAGTCGACATAGGGCTCATCGGTGTAGTTTACAACTCGGTCGATTCGGTCTTCTTTTTTGTCTATAATTAATTATTTTTTGAAGATATTCGATTCGTAGTAATCGAATGTTACTTTTTTCAATTACCAGCTTCCGATTATTTTCTGTTCTTTTTTTCCATCTAAAGCCTAGCTCTTTCATAATACGTCGTAAGCTTCATTCCGAGCCATTAAAATTTATATCTTCTTTAAAATTTTCGAAGCCTTTCTACGGTACGGAGTTTCGCTGCTTGTTATGTAGTTATTATGATTACATCTTTTTATTACAGATTAAACGAAACTATCCATTCCGGTAACTTTCTTCTTCCCTGATCTTTTCTTACCCGGAGTCCGAAACACGGCGAGCAAGCCAGAGCCTTTAGCTTCCTTAATAATGCACCTAACAGTCCTCACTGATGGTTTTGTTACTTCCGAAGTCTGTTTTAATTTTTACATATCATTCTTCCCCTGTTTTATAATGAAGCAATATAGGTCGTACACAATTTTTCTACCCTTTCTTTTGAATACTACACCGGTTTGTCGCGGCATAGTGTATGTTTTTGTGTATGCTGTTAAAAAATCAACAAACACTCAACAAATAGCAATGGCAACAAAGTCCACAAGTAATTATAACAAATAACTTAACGATTAATAACGATAGACTTTAATAATATAATAACTTTCCACTGTACGCAAGCGTACTTTTGGGAGCAAGCGGAACGAGGGCGCGGTGCGGGACGCAAGGTTCGACTGATCTACCAATAAAGCGCTCGATACGATTTCCCCTGCCGTCGCGCCTCACCCTCACCACCAAAGTGATCTAAAATTCGGTTCTGCGCAGTCAAGGTCATTTGCTCAAGATGTTTGCCGGTTACTATACAACTGGTGTTCTCGTGTTTCATCTTCAAACGTTTGCTTTTTATTATAGTGCATGTTGACGCGCTATCAACTTTAATTGAATATTTTCAATTGGAGTAGTAACAATAATTCTTGGATCAATTGTCAATTCCTGAGGTGTGGTATCATCTACAGCTACTTCATATTTCTTCAACAGAGTTGCAAAGCCCGCTAACATCTGCATCTTCGCAAAACGCATGGCTAGAAAAGTTTAAGACGCGTTACTATTATAGTTTATTAAAAGATCAACTGCGTAGGTTATCGGTGATTAGATATTAAAAATGAAAAACATAACGAAAATACATTTATGTTTCAACATACTAACTATACTTAATTAATTTGCTTTTTGTCTTTGAAAGTTTCTTTGATGCCCTTATCTTCGACTTACCAACCACCCTAAGCCGTCTTTTGAGGCAATCTTTGATCGGTTTTTACGCTTCCCATCACCCATTAGTTGATCTGTTATCAAGCTCGCTTATTTCCAAAAGGTAGCTAGACTTTGTTAACATTGATAGAAATTAGAAATTTCTAGAGACAAAAACTTTCGTGTTCTACTATATTACAAATACTCATTTAAGGTTTATTTACAGCTTGCTTACACCTATGAGAAATTCATTAACTGAACTTTTGGTGAGATATTACAAATAGGTTTATCTAATAAGTTATTTACGATAATTTTCAATGATTAGGTAAATACTCAAGAAAGCATTTGTGGAGCATACAAAAGAAGTAGGGCAGCACACACGTAAAGGAATTAATTCATTAAACAGGTTTTTTAAATTTCTTTTTAATTTAGCGATTACTAGGCATTACATAGAATATAGAAAACTGAATAACGGCATTTATCTCCCGGGTTAAACCGGGTAACCATTTCGTCGCAGAAATACACAGGATGATGATACTTGTGCGGGCTTATCATATATACATAATATGCATATTTTGCGGGACTGATTTTTACTACACAATATAATGCATTTGTTGTGAAAGTCGTTCGCGAAGTTGTGTTACGTCTGTATTTCCGCAGAAAAATGTAGTTTGCGGAATTTGAACACCGTCACAGCCTGATGAAAATACACCGGGCGTCTTGTTATTAAAGCTACAATAGCTCCAAACTAAAATCAATGAGCTTCGGACAGAAACGCTTGGAGTAAATAATGAAAGAAAACTGGAACTTACCAATACATATCCTATGGCCTTCCCCAAATGGCATATATGTGAAAGGGTAAATTGTTTGCTTCGCTTCTGGTAAAAATCTTCTAGGATCAAATTTATTTGGCTCGGGAAAATATTTCGGATTGCGTTGAAGATGATACACAGGAATATGAATTCGGGTGCCTTTTTCAACTTTTAAGCCCGTCGGGAATGTGTAGTCTTCCATTACCTCTCGAGTTAAATTGGCTAATGAGGGATAAAGACGTAATGTCTCGTCAATGCAAGCATTTAAATACGGAGTTTCCGAAACAATGTCGAATTCAATTTCATTGTTGTGCTTAGCGAAATAATCATCAACTTCTTCGATGGCTTTTTTTTGATATTTTGGATTTTTGGCGAGTTCATAAAATGTTAAACTCAGGGTAGTCGAAGAAGTCTCAAAAGCGGCCCCAAAAAAAGAAACGCACTGAGCAATCAGTAATTCATCTGTCACTTCCAAATTCACTTTCTGTACACGGCCATTTTTTATATCTGGAATACTATCACCAACCAGATACTTATTCTGTCTGAGCTTCATGAATAAATCAATAAAGTCTTGTCTCTGTGATAAATTCCTTTGTCGGTCTTTAAATGCACATTCTAGCAGGTCAGTAAAGAACATTGTAATGACTTCCGGAAAAAGTTTCAGTCGTAATGCATAAAATAAGGAGGGCCAAATTCCTCTTAATACATTTATGATACCTCTTGTAGTCGATTTCGGAAAAATTTCCTTACTGATTTTCACAATTGGATTTTGCGAGTGCTTTTCCATGGCATTAATTTCTACTCCGAAAAGACAAGCACCAACACAATCCATTATAAAATATTTTATTATAGAGTTTATCTCGAAACTTTTAACAGTGGCTTTTTCTTCCAATACGTTTTCGAAGACTCGGCAACAATTCTTTATCAAGTGAAACATGTTTTTCATTTTTGAAGTTGTAAACAAAGGGGTTAAACTATGCCTCAAAACTCTCCAATCGTCACCGTACGTAAAAAATATACTTTGCGTGGTAATTTCTCTATCGACATATTTGCAGACCTCTCGTCCATGAAAGTAAAAAAAATCTTTTACCAGAATCAATCTTATCAGATCAGGATCCTGGACCACAAGAGCTGGTTCGGTACCATAAAAAGTGCCCACGTAAGGTGATTCCGGAAATTTTTCGCAGAGCCTCTTCGTAACATTCCCAAAAAAAATTTTCAACAATATATAATCACCGTAGTTTCCAAGAATCGGGTATGGTTTTTCAAATGGAACTTTTTTATTTTTCCAGTAACCATGGTTTCGTTTTGTTATATAATACACAACCAATACAAGAAATAAAATAAAATGCAGTAAAAAAGTTAGCAGATACATAATTCACCAACGATCGATTGGAGTACAAATTGAACTAACAATATTGACGGTTCTTTTTTGCTATTTAAACTTCAGATAATAATATTTATAAATATACATATGTATAAATATAAATAAATGAATTGACCTGACCGACCGATTAAGTTACTGAGTAAGCGGTTGAGTGAACGATACATCAACGCCTGCTGATCGTATAAAACTAAAATTTAAGATGGCGTATTTTAAATTTGAACGCGTAGAGTTGTAAGCAATTATCGGAAAAATCATTCTCTCATCTGATCTTCATATTAGGACGAAACTAAAAATACGGAAATAGTTGAATATGAAATAAGTAATATTTCATTATGATCAATTCAACCCCTTTAATTGGCAAAAGGATGGTAAAGTACGCACAGAAATACAAAACAGATTCCTTTGTCGGATTAAATTGAAACTTCATTTAAATACTTTTAACAATTTAAAACAAACTGTATATCCAAATTTAGATTTTTCTGACGATATTAATTATTAGCATTTATAGCGAGTGAAGTCACCAGCAACAGCTAGTTTATCTATACATAATTTAATATGAGTTCACTTGATGAACTTTTTATCAAACGGGTGACTCCGGGTGAGTAATGTCATCCAACTAGTATACGAGTATACGATATAATCTTCCGTTGTTTGTGATCGTTTTGCAATAAAGTCTAAGTTTGTTTATTATTATGATAATTAAAAAAGTTAATTAAAAAATTAACTTTGTATGCGACTATTAGAAGAACGAATTTAAGTTTTAAAATTATGTCAAAAAAGATATTAATTATTTTGGATGATTCAAAACAAAACTCGTGATTTATTTTGCCGCAGAAACAGGCAGGACGGTCCAACCGTAGCGACTCGTCAGGTCTAACAACACCCGTAGTACCTTATTCCTTACCACAAGAATTAGAATGCTATTATAGAAAATAGAAAAGTAACAGCAAAAGCTTCCTTTATGGTTCCTCGGTGCCGAAACGGTTTCTTCACCATCTCGCTTTTAATAATAATATGTGTCAGCAACTCAAATCTCATAAAAAACATCTTTCATTTTATGGGATACAGTCATTAAGCACACGACGTTTATCAGCTGACATTATGTTCCTATATAAGCTTATACATAACATAATAGATTCCCCAGATGTACTTGAACTTTTTTATTTTATTTTTTATTGCTTAAATGGGTAGATGAGCTCACGGCCGACCTGGTGTTAAGTGATTACCGGAGCCCATAGACATCTAAAACGTAAATACCGCCACACACCTTGAGGTATTTATAATGTATTTTCAAGTACTACGGCTGCTCCACCCTTCAAACCGAAACGCATTACTCCCTCACGGCAGCAATAAGTAGGGTGGTGGTACCTACCCGTGCAGACTCATAAGACATCCAAATTCAAATTCAATTTTTTTTTTTCTACCTCTTCGTTGGTAGCCTAAGAAGCTATTCCAGCTACGATCGGTCAGGTAGGTGAGCTCATGGGCTTAACCTGAGAGAATTTGCTAGCACTAGCCCTACCTAGCAAAAGCAGTGCTTTGCAGAATCTACCACCGGATCGGGATCACGACCCACTGAGAAGAAACGCCGAGAAGTTCAGTGGACTGTGTCTATGTGCTTAAGTAATCAAAAAACTTTCAACGTACCAAAAATTTAAAGTAATCTTGGCCAGCAGTCTCCTGTCTACCGTATGACTTCCCTAACTAATAGTATACGTGATGAAATCGACCTATTTGTTTGTTCTTTAGCCTTACTAAAAATAAATTTAAGATCCGCGATCCACACGGAGCTGTAGAGCTTATTTGATTGTACATAAATGTTTATGTTGCAAATATTTATATAACTTTAATTTGCTCTTTTTTTGTTTTTAAGTTGTTGAATGCTTTTTGTTACTTTTATATATATTTTATTATTTAATAAATAAAAGTCAGCCTCTGACGACTTTTAATACCTATGAATTGGAGTTAACCCATTTTTTTTCTATTATACATAGGTTGAATTTTAATGAGTAGATTTTACCCAATTGTGGAACCTAATAATTAAAGAAAGTTTAGACACCGCTGTAGGAAAACAAATTATATTTATACGTACACACTATTTATTCCCAAATGATCTTGTAACACCATAGGTAAAAGGTTCGTGATAATAATTGCTTATCTGCGTATTTATTAAGAAGATACGAGTAATTATGTTCGTCATTCACGTACATCAGATGATTTTGAGATACATTCAGTACATTGAGTGTAGTTTAAAATGTAACCGTAATGACCGCAGCTTTTTTCAATGTCTTCGTGTTGGGAATTAAGAGCAAACAATCGCATGTTTTTATTTTCGGCAACAGCATCACCAGACGCTTTACTATATTATAATATAATGTAATATGTTCTTCTTTGAAAAAGAAGATCAAACTATCAATCAATTTAAGAAATAATATAAGAATATCAAACTAAATCTCAACAAATCCGTATTGAAAACACCGATTAAAAATATTTAAAAATTTAAATAAAATATTTTAATATTTCCTTATTTTGTTTCAGAAAATATTTTTCCATTTAATTTTGGTAACGTTTATCGTTTTTTGGACACTAATAAAGGTCCCAAAGCTCCTGCATCAGTACCTCTCAGAAAGAAGAGCGTAAGTTGTAAATACGAAATTATTGAAACGATTGTACTGCTAATTATACTGTTAATTATTTTATTAATTTATAATTATTTTTCCATTTTTTTTATTTAATATGATGTATTTTACATTTTTCAATCTATTACAGGACACACGAACGTAAAGTAACTGAATGCAATGAAAATTCAACAGTAGTAGAACAAAACGTCGAAATTTTTGAAAATCTAGATGATTGGTGGAATCCTCGTGGAAAACTTTCTACATTACACAAATTCAACGTTATAAGGTAGTGTTGCCTATCAAAACGCAAAACCTTCTTTGGGATTAGAAAATATTAGATTAACCGAAATAAAATCATGAGTTACGTTGCTAAGATTCTGAAGTTGAATTTATTTGTAATTACGTTAAATCAATTTTACAGGCTTTTTTATTGTCATACGAATTGATATTCATCGTCGTTCGTCAAGATTTATTAGGTAGGTACTTATTTATAAAACACGTGACCTACCAGAGAACTAGAACACCTATAAAGTCGCATCACTCGTTACCCAGTCACAAGTTTCATGTATCTTAAGCATCAGATTATGTACACCAAACAGCTAAATAGAATTGGAGTAATCGATAATTTCTTAACATTCACAATTTTGCTTTTATCTTCAACAGAATTCCGTTCATTCAAAATGGTATCCTTGCTCACACCGGAGCAGACACTCTGAATAATATAAAAATACTAGACGTCGGCTGTGGTGGAGGAATACTGTCCGAGGTATTAAAACTTTCACTAACTTTCTGAGTTTTAAATTTAAAAGCGGCCCGTGATGCTTTTCTTTCTTCCATGGTTCTTGTAAGACTCAACGATCGACAGAGGCTTTCGGCAAGAATACTTTCTTATGCACTTTTGTACCCTGATTTAGTGTACATTTACGATGTTCAATTACGTTTATTCTACCTTTTACGGCGTCAACGTGGAGTGTGAATACTTCAAAAGTCACTAGGTACATTTCCTGTTCTATTACGATTACGATGATCTTATGACTTGACTTATTTTAAACAATTACCGGAGTCAGCAGAGATAGTATAATGAATGCGTCCAACCACAATGCTACTACTTTATTTAAATTAGTACTAAGGATTGTTAATTAGGGGTTAGGTAGAAAAATAGGTTAGGTTATTGGCACTATCAGCGGATGATAGGTATAGGGATCGTACTTCATCTGATTAATAGCCGGATTTCCTTAGGATCCTCCGACCTTAAATTTTGCTACCAATATGTCCTAGTACTTACTAGCAGAAAGGTGTTTTTTTTATTATCGTAGCAAACATTTGGATTAATTTTCTTTAATCTGTATTTTCAGGGTTTAGCAAAAGCCGGAGCACTCGTGACCGGAATTGACGCAAGTGCAGCTTTAATTATGATAGCAAAGGAACATCGTAATCTCAGTTCAGATCTACCAAACAGCAACCCTATTTATCACCATAATACTATTGAAGTCAGTTTTTTTTTATTGCTTATGTGTGTGGACGAGCTCACAGCCCACCTGATGTTAAGTGGTTACTGGAGCCCATAGACATCCACAACGTAAATGCGCCACACACCTTGAGATATAAATTCTAAGGTCTCAGTATAGTCACAACGGCTGCCCCACCCTTCAAACCGAAACGCATTACTGCTTCACGGCAGATATAGGCGGGGCGGTGGTACCTACCCGTGCGGACTCACAAGAGGTCCTACCACCAGTAATTACGCAAATTATAATTTTGCGGGTTTGATTTTTTATTACACGATGTAGCGTAAGTAGCGTAAGTAGCGATCGAATAAAAAAAATTAAAAAATCAGGATGATTTTCATGATGCTATCAGCCAACTAGTTCTAGGACTATAATATATTTATACTCGAACGAGGAAAAGAAGATTACGAATAAGCTTAAACTTAAAGATAAATAAATTAGACGTATTTTCCCCTCAAAGCTGTAAGTTAATGCGTAAATACCAGTAGCAAGCTTACTCAAACGACACAGCATTATGTCGCTAGAAAAGCCAAAACATTAGACCTGGTATCGAGTGGCTATCATAACTCACAACGTACCTTAAGAAACAGGTCTAAGCCTGAAATTTGCATAACGGTTCTACCCTTCAAATTTAAACGCATTACTGCTTCGTGTCAGAAGTAGTGCTTGTGGTGATGGTACTCACCCATGCGGGCTTCCAAGACGCCCTACCACCAGTAATTAATGAAATTAAAAACTTTGCAAGTATCGTAATACTTCATTTTAATTTAAATAAAAATATTCTTACATATTTATAAAGGAAAATATAACAAGCACCTACACTTATTTCAGGAGCACGTAAAAACACACCCAAACTATTACGATGCAGTCGTTGCTTCAGAAGTTATAGAACACGTGAACAATCCAAAATTATTCCTAAAATCATGTGTTGAGACTCTCAAACCCGGAGGGGTTATATTTTTAACAACACCAAATAGAACGATATGGTCTTACCTAACTGTTATATTCTTTTGTGAGAACGTTATATCGATAATACCGAAAGGCGCACACGAATACAGCAAACTAATCACTCCAAGAGAACTTTCCGAAATGCTGACTGAAAGTAAGTACATTTGTCGCATTTCAGCTTATTCAATTATAATTATTACTTATTTCACTTCCAGCTTAGTATCATTTATTTATACGTTTCATATTTGAAGTAAAAACTTCTTTAGCCCCTTTGTGCGATAATTTTTTCTTCACTCAGTATCTATTCGAATGTTCTAAGACAGTCGCCGTATGGCATGTATGATTGTATGTACGTGTATAGTGCTAAATGTGTTTCTCCTAGCTGAGCCTTTGCTCGCCCACCTGTCCTGATGAAACTAGAAAAGCCTCCGGTATCATATATATAAAAAAAAACTAAAAGCATTGATCGACTCGTATACCTACCCGTTTCATAATAATACTTTCACTTTTGTTTATTTGGTTCCTAAGTGTATTATTTTTCTCTTTTCAGATAATTGCAGCATTGTTTCAAATCAAGGAATTATTCTTAACATGATTACTCGGCACTGGCAATTTATAAAACCACGTAGCATAATGTATGCAATGCAAGCAGTAAAACTGAATTAAGATCAAAATAAAAAAGTTATAAACTTGAGAAACTCAAAAATGTATTTTGTTATTTATATTGTATTTTGGAGTTTGGTCAAACAAAGATAATAAAAAAAAACTAATTGTAAACATGTATTCTTATTTTTTATGCGATTCTGTTCACCGGATACAACTTAGTTCCTCGCCGGATCTTGTCATAAGTAAATGATTACTTAATAAAATTTATTAATAATATAAAATAATTAATGCACACGCCTTTTATTACTGTATCTTACTAACCCTTTTCTTTAACGCCGGGATTTTTTAACGGTCGAAGGTAGCAGACCGAGTTATCTCGGACTGCGGCATCTCCAGATAAGAAGAGGAAGACCGAGGTTCTCTTCCTCTTCCAATCCCTCCTAGCACTCTAGGAGGACTACGACTAGAACCTAGGAGACGGCGCGCGGCGTCAGCCACACAAGACCCGCCCCGTATCGCCCCCGAATCTACCCACTAAACTAAGCTGCTACCGCCTGAATTCCGTCGGACTCTACAATATTGGTTTGACCAAATCTACGGTGTACTATAGTGCCATATAGTATAGCAGCGTATACTTCGTCAGTAATATACCTAATCAGGTCATAAGTATTGTCACACAGTAAAAACTTTAGAATGCTGGCCACAAAAAAGTTTATTGAATTAGAATTTCGAATTGTTCATGACAATAAAAATGTATACTTTTAGAATTTTACTCATTTTTAAATATGGAGTGGACGCTTAAAGAAGACCGTGTTGCAGTTATTGCGTTACATCGTTGCGGTTACGCGCCAATTCAAATTTTTAACATACTGAAAAATTTGAATATAACCAAAAGATTCGTTTATCGTACCATCAAACGATACAATGAAGACTCTAGTGTAGATGACAGGTCAATAAGTGGTCGCCCTCGGTCTGTTAGGACTCCAGCAGTGATAAAAGCTGTGAAGGCGCGAATTCAAAGAAATCCCAAACGTAAGCAGAAACTGTTGGCCCTTCAGATGGGGTTAAGCAGAACCACGGTGAAAAGGGTGTTAAATGAAGACTTAGGGCTTCGGGCATATCGAAGAAAAACAGGACATCGTTTGAATGCTCGTCTAATGGACCTGAGACTGAAGAGATGCCGCGCTTTGTTGAAGCGGTACGCGGGAAAAAAATATCGGGAAATTCTTTTTTCGGATGAAAAAATTTTTACCGTAGAAGAGAGCTACAACAAACAAAATGATAAGGTGTACGCACACAGTAGTGAAGAAGCGAGCAACCGTATTCCGCGTGTCCAACGAGGTCATTTTCCATCCTCGCTCATGGTATGGTTGGGAGTTTCTTATTGGGGCTTAACAGAGGTACATTTTTGTGAGAAAGGTGTAAAAACGAATGCAGTTGTGTATCAAAATACAGTCCTGACGAACCTTGTGGAACCTGTTTCTCATACCATGTTCAATAACAGGCACTGGGTATTCCAACAAGATTCGGCGCCAGCTCATAGAGCGAAGAGCACACAAGACTGGCTGGCGGCGCGTGAAATCGACTTCATCCGGCACGAAGACTGGCCCTCCTCCAGTCCAGATTTGAATCCGTTAGATTACAAGATATGGCAACACTTGGAGGAAAAGGCGTGCTCAAAGCCTCATCCCAATTTGGAGTCACTCAAGACATCCTTGATTAAGGCAGCCGCCGATATTGACATGGACCTCGTTCGTGCTGCGACAGACGACTGGCCGCGCAGATTGAAGGCCTGTATTCAAAATCACGGAGGTCATTTTGAATAAACTTTAGTGTCATAAGAATCTATGTTTTGTTAAGTTCATTTTGGTATATGAATGGTTACATAATGAATAAACTTGTTTCAATTATTTTACATTAAACATGTGACAGAATTTATGACCTGACTAGGTATAGTACAGTACAGTGTGAACGTGTCATAATAATGTATGGTGCACGATATTGTTGTACTATGAGCTATAGATATACTATATGCTATTATATTATAGCGTAATCTGAAAGCAACTTTACGGTGAATCATAAAGTCGACTTTATAAAAATCACCTACTTATGAGTGATCCAAAGCGATACAAAGCGGTCGAAATGTCATGGAAGAATTAGCTCACATCGCATATGAGTCGCTGAGGACATTTTAGAACGAATCAATTCTGATCCAACATTCATGAAACGCATTGTTACTGGTGACGAGACGTGGGGTTAAGAATTTGACTTGCAAACTAGTCCACAAGCTTCGCAGTGGCGCTTTACAACTCAACCGAAACCGAAAAAACCACGCCTAAGAGCTGGTTCACATTTTTTTTTATTGCTTAGATGGGGGGACGAGCTCACAGCCCACCTGCTGTTAAGTGGTTACCGGAGCCCATAGACATCTACAACGTAAATGCCGCCACCCACCTTGAGATAAGAGTTCTAAGATCTCAGTATAGTTACAACGGCTGCTCTGCCCTTCAAACCGAAACGCATTACTGCTTCACGGCAGAAATAGGCAGGGCGGTGGTACCTACCCGCGCAGACTCATAAGAGTCAAAGCCAAATTCACTCAAATTCAAAGCCATTCTTTGCCAAAGATTACTTTCTTTTGCTGTTGCGTTTTTTTTTTTTGATTGAAAGATTACTGGTGGCCCGGAGGCCTTTCCAGCTTCACCAGGACAGATTGTGTACTCGGAATTCTTGCCGGAAGGTCAAACGGTAAATAAATAATATTAGTTGAGCGTTAGGCGGCGTTTAAGAGAGCTAATTTGACGAAAAAGGCTGGATTTGTTGAAAGAAAATTCTTGAATTTTGCACCACATGAATGCGCCTTCACACAATCATTTTTAGAAGAATTTTTGACCAAAAACTCAACACAAACCATCGAGTAACCCTTTATTTACCAGATATGGCTCTAGCCGACTACTTTCTTTTTCCTAAACTCAAATGACCACTTCGTGGCGACCAGAAGACACAAAAGAGAATACGCGGCGAGAACTTAACTCAATTCCGGAAAAGCGTATAAAATATTTTGATGATTGGATTATTCTTTGGCGTAAGTGTATCCTTTCTGAACGAGCATACTTTAAAGATAATAAATAAATTTAGATGAAAAACTATTATTTTGTGTTCTAATGAACGTTCCGGTATTTTCTTGACAGAGTAGTATGACAATTTTTAAGTTTGACTTTGACAGTTGACAACTATATTATGGTGATTTAATCACAATTCACCCGAAATCTACTGAAAAACATAATAGTAATAATAATTTACTATTTACGACAGCTACAAACAACATAATTTTATAATTTTAACAATTTAAAAACAATGAAATAGTTTGTTAGTGAAATAATATATGTTCATTCATGCTATGGCAAATAGAGTGACAGTAGTAAAAAAGTATATTTCAAAATAATGTTTGCGAAAATGAGTACCAAAGCGCTAAACACTTGGCGACTTGCGTGCTACCCTGCATCTCCAGTTATTAACCGGTAAAACTTTGCACATACTTTCAATTTCTCTATTTAAGCTATATAACCATAACCCCTATAGGCTCTACTATTTCTACTGCTTACCCATGAGACATTCTTCCAGTACATTTTAAACTAGTTACAACTAAGACTAAACTGAAGAATTGGTCAAGATGATCCCTTCATCTACTTTTTGCTATCAAACCTCCTGCTACCAGAGTAAAGTTCATAGATATAATCTGGAACCGCTGCATTAATCACAGTGCCGTTCTAGAGATCTTTTTTGCCACGTACCATCCCATAATTACGATAGCTCGTTGCTGTTTTCCAAGCACCAAAAGAGTAAACGATTTTTTTCTGTTTTTGCTTTGGTAGGCAGATGAGCATGCGGCCCACCTGATGGTAAGCAGTTAGTGTCGCTCATGGACGTCAGCAATGGCAGGGGCAGAGTCAAGCCGCTGCCTACCACTTTAAATGAGGTTTACGACGAGTACTCAGCAGTAGGCAGCAACTTGACTGTTCCACTAGCATTACTGACATCTATGAGCAATGGTAACTAATCTCCATCAGGGGGCCATATGCTTGTCTTTGGCAGACAAAGGAAAAGCAATATAAAAAATGTAATAGAATTAAAACTTTTTAATTAAAAGCTGCCAGTAACAGGCAAGATATGCAGAAGGCCCAGAAGCAGTCCAATGTGCTGGTTGGATCAGGTACACTCTACCCTCAACATCTGAGTCCATGATACCATCTATGCAGCTGAAGATAGACTGAACTGGCACAATATAGTCCAGAAGATTATTCATGACCATGAACATTAAGGATTATTAACATGACAAGAAGGAAGAGGAGAGTATATACAACATAATGCCTGATGAATTTTCCAGAATAATCACATATCCAAAATGGAGATACTATGCAACAGCCAATTTATACAGTAAAGATGAGAATCATGGGCGTACTACACTTGATTCCTCCGAGATCAAAATGTTTTCAAAACAAATGAGTGAATGGTGGGATGTCAATGGCTATCTAAAATCATTACATGCTATGAATAAAGTGAGGTAATATTATAATTTTTTTAAAAGTCTAGTTTATATGATAAAAATCTATTTATTATTGAATGTCTAAGCCTCTGAAATTCCATAATATTTAAATATCTACATCTAACTTAATTAAAGCTAGCAAGTTTTCTTTTTATGATGCTTATTTTTATGTAGTAAATTTATTGAAAACTAGAAATTAGATAAAAAATACATTCTTTCTTTTTACTATGATATGATGAAGATAATCACCACCAATTTAACAATCTTCATGATTCTTATAAAAACAGACAAGATTTTAATATTTTATAGATTAGTTTACAATTAAACAAAATTTAAAAAAATGCTTCTGTTAATGTTTCATCTTATATTTGTTAGTTGTTATAATATTTTCGTCGTTTTAAATACTTAACAGTTTTTGTGATTACAAAACAACTGAGGAATTGCTTAATTCTGATTTTAAATAATTTCCACTTTTTATAATATTCTTTTCAGAATACCATTGATTAGAGATGGTCTCATACAAACATCGGAAAGAACCTTAACACCTTTGCAAGATAAAAAAATTCTCGATGTTGGTTGTGGGGGAGGCATCTTGGCAGAGGTAAAGTCTTAGTGAAATTTTTTATTAAAATACAGACGAATTCGATTCACAAAGGAATGACATTCGTTTTATAAATGAAAATTTGAAAAATAATAATAAATTGTGAAATACGTATTTTAAGCTAGTAAGAATTGTAAGCTCGCATGCATAGATAGCATCTTCTTGTCTATTCCTGCCTGTTGTTGTCTATATATAAGAGTTTAATATTGTGTATGGCGGTGGGTGGCACATTGTATCTAGGATTCTGATTGCCAAATGGCAACAATTAATACCAGGTGGCTCTTGAACTTGTTCAAATATTCAGGAATAAATACACTAAATTATGTTTATTCAAAATACGCAAATAATGCAAATGATCATTTAGCCAATGCTGTTTTTCATGATTACAATCGATGATGTCTCTGCTAAGAAAGAAGCCTCTGGGTCTGCGGAGGGACTTCGGTTCCCTCTGTATTTTGTACCGTATGTTCCATGGGGAGTGCTCTGAGGAGTTGTTCGAGATGATACCGGCATCTCGTTTTTACCACCGCACCGCCCGCCACCGGAGTAGAGTTCATCCATACTACCTGGAGCCACTGCGGTCATCCACAGTGCGTTTCCAGAGATCTTTTTTGCCACGTACCATCCGGCTATGGAATGAGCTCCCCTCCACGGTGTTTCCTGAGCGCTATGACATGTCCTTCTTCAAACGAGGCTTGTGGAGAGTATTAAGCGGTAGGCAGCGGCTTGACTCTGCCCCTGGCATTGCTGAAGTCCATGGGCGACGGTAACCACTCACCATCAGGTAGGCCGTATGCTCGTCTGCCTACAAGGGCAATAAAAAAAAAAAAAAAAAAAAAATAAGACAATTTGCTATCCTCAAGTAAAGTCTTTCAACCTCATTTGGAGAAGTTTTGCACTCAATGGAATAGATTGGTTATTTATCGCTTTTTTTATGATCATCAAATTACATGAAATCTTTTCTAAATCATTGGCTTAAAATAATAATTAAATGTAATGAAACAAATATTTTTTCTTAAGGGCTTAGCTAGACTCGGAGCGAATGTGACAGGAATAGATGCAAGTGAAGATCTCATAAACTTAGCCAGAGAACACAGTGAAACTAATCCAAAAATAAGTAACAATAAACCAACATATTATCACTGTACTATTGAGGTAAATCTTACATTAATCTAATATCTCTATGAATTATAAAATTAACTGTAGTTTTTTTATAGGCTTTGTAGGTAAATCAGCATAAGACCAACCTGATGGTAAGTGGTCATCGTTGCTCATGGATGGTAAAAATGCCAGGGGCACAGCCAAGTCGCTGCCTACCGCTGGGTACCGTCCACAAGCCACAATTGAGGAAGGACACCATAGTGGTCACTGGTCAAGAAATACCGAGAAGGAAAGTTCATACCAAACAAAGATGATACCATAGCAAGAAAGTTATCTGGAAATGCACTGTCATTAAATGCAACTTATTTCTGATATTATTAGAGTCAATAGATTATTTGTAAAATTAATTTAAAATGTACTATAACTGAGCATAGATGTTTAATGTTCTCGGTGATATTCATAATTTAAAAAATGTAGCTAATAATAATTATTTTTTTCAGAATCACATTAAAACACATAATGAACATTATGACGCTGTAGTTGCATCAGAGGTAATTGAACACATAACCGATAAGCAGTTATTTGTGAATTCGTGCGTTGCAGCAACGAAACCCGGAGGTAGATTATTCTTCACGACGCCAAACAAAACCAGGATATCGCAGTTCCTAACTATATTTGTTGTCGAAAATATTATAAAAATCGTAAAAAAAGGAACGCATCAGTACGATAAGTTCATTACACCTAATGAATTAACTTTCCTGTTAGAGAGAAGTAAGTATAGTAATGGTAATGATTAATATTAGTAAAGCATTTTCGGTGCCCGCGTAGATATTTATTTTCTCCTTATTTTTACAGCAAAGCAATCATGTTTTCCGGTTTAAATGATGGTACAGAGGCTTTTCATTATAATTGAGACTTCAACCTCATAAGTCAAAGTGGCCAGATTAATCTAGGGACTGCAGTAACTGCGCTCAAACTTCCTTGTAGTGGAGTAAAAAAAAGCCTTTCTTTTCCTACCTATGCTGATAGCCTTGAGAGGCTATTTCAGCTTCTCATTGACGTGTAAGTGAGCTCACGGGGCTCAAACCGGAGTGTTACTAACACTGGCCCTAGCAAGGGCAGTGCTTCGCAGAATCTACCACCGGATCGGAAACGCGACCCACTGAGAAGATCCGGCGAGAAACTCAGTGGGCTGTGTCTGAGGGTTAATTCACTCGTCGAGCCCTTCCTCGCAAGCGACGGGTTCGGCGAGGACGGAGACCGGTGCTTGTGGTACCTAAAAGCACCGTTAATGGATCGGGAGGATCCGTAATAACGTGAAAAAAAGCTAAAATATAAAGATAATTCGTATCGCAACTTTAGAATTGAATTAGTTTAATCCGAAATTCTTCTTTTTTTTGTAAACACTAAAATTGTAATTGAACAATTGTATAATAATTTTTCGATTAACTTTAACGATTTTAATACTTTAAACCTTATGCGCTGACTTTAAAACTTAGTTTACTTTATCCTTTTCTAGATTAAAATTAAAATATAATGTTTAATTTTAAATATGTAATTTTATAAAATGATAGAATACATAATTATTTATAGGTCGTTCAAAGTATAAAATTCATTTTCTTAAAATTTTTAGTTAAGCCACTTCAATTCTAAAGGTGCGATATATTGATGATATTATTATTTACAGATAACTGCCTAGTGGAATCGATATACGGCTTGTTCTACAATCCGTTAAACAACAGTTGGCATTTTACAAACTCACAACTTCTACTATACGCTCTACAGGCCGTCAAACTGAAGTCATTGTAGTTTTAGATTTTTTATTGCTTAGATGGGTGGACGAGCTCGCAGCGCACCTGGTGTTAAGTGGTTACTGGAGCCCATAGACATCTACAACGTAAATGCGCCACCCACCTTGAGATATAAGTTCTAAGGTCTCAAGTATCGTTACAACGGCTGCCCCGCCCTTCAAATCGAAACGCATTACTGCTTCACGCCAGTAATAGGCAGGGTGTTGGTACCTACCCGCGCGGAATCACAAGAGGTGTAAGTACCACCAGTAAAAGTGAAAAGTTGGTTAAAGTTATTTAAAGTAAAAACATCTTTAGTAACTTTTGTGATTTGGTGAAACGAAAAAACGTCCACATTAAAAAGACAAACATAATATGTTATGTCCTGTGGCAGAATAGATAAAAAAGAAATCCTTTCGATCGCGTGCGAATACACACCTTTCTTTTTTTTAAGAGTTTGTTATTGTTATGATTTGAATAAAAATAAAAATACTCTGAATAAAATACTATGCTTGTTTATGTTGTGTGCTGTGTGGTTGTCTCTGTGGGTGTGTGTGTGTGTGTGTAACTTTAGTATTTTTATATTCATTGAATGAAAACTCATTGTATTTAATTTAACTTTTTATTATTAGTGTAAAAGGGCAGTTAACCTTATATTGAACGGTTAAGGAAACCCTTCAGAGCGTGAATGTATTGCCAATCTTAAGACATGGTTGAAGTCTCACCATGATAACGTCGAGGGGTGAAAGCCTTATTTGGTTTCAGCAATATTTTTGGAAGTTAACAGGAGAGCCATTTGAAGTTTAGAATCTGGAAAAAATATCATAACAAAAACATCTTCGTCTATTCACTTAATTGAAGTTCAATTAAAAGCATCGAACTGTTAAGTATTGCTAATACAAAAAAAACCGCACCTTCAATTACAAAGATAAATGTCATTTAAACCAAACAGCCTTTCACCCTTCGATATGTTTTTAAAATACAATTTTACGGTAATTTGTCATTTTTAATTCGTGGATCACATCACTACCTAACAGTGTCAGAGTTGCGATGGAGAGACGAAAAGAAAAAAAAAATCTTCGATGCAACGGTTTTCTTTTATTGCTTAGATGTGTTACTGGGGCCCATAGACATCTACAACGTAAATGCGCCACCCACCTTGAGATATAACTTCTAAGGTCTCAGTATAGTTAAAACGGCTGCCCCACCCTTCAAACCGAAACGCATTACTGCTTCACGACAGAAATAGGCAATGTGGTGGCACCTACCCGTGCGGACTCACAAGAGGTCCTACCACCAGTAAGAAGTTGTCGGGCGAGAAACTCAGTAGGATGTTTCCATGAGCTTAGCTCGCACGTTGATCTCATGGCTTTCGTGAACTCACTCAGGAGTTTGTATTCTTTCATCATTCATGACGAATGAGATGGCAGAAAGGTTTTTCCTTGTTATCATAATATAACAACAATACATGGATATTCATAACTAATAATAATAGAAATAATACAAAATTTTAACAAAAAAATAGAAAACCGATTTCAATCATTAATGTAGTCGAAATCAATTAAATATAGGTACATTCAGATCCTAACTAAATATAAATGGTAACACATGAACATGGAAATAAAAAAGAATTATCAAATTTTGTTTGGTACAACATGCGACTATAAAATTACATTTAGAAATTAAGAAACAAATATTCAACCACTTTCGCAAGAGGGGTCGTCGTACCCCTTTACGGAGGCACGGAATGGGCCTCAGGGCGAACCCCACTGTCCGGGCAGAAGCTCCCTGCCATGAAAGGCAGGGGTGGAATGATGTAGGGAGGACTAAAAGGGGGGGATCGCATGCGTGTTCGGCGCACTCCACATCGACATAATATATACTTAAATATAATACGAGGGCTTGAGTAGTTCACTGGATGGCGCCCGGCAGCAAGTTCTCACCAGCGCCGTGCTGTCGTCTGCTTGTTTTTTTTTTTCTACAACTAATCTATCTAATACTATCTATCTACAACTACTTAACACTAACTATACACTATATACACAAGCAACAACAGTCAGCGGGTTAGGGCCCGCCACCGGCCCTGTGCCGTGGCCCCACCTCTACAACCCAGAAGAGGAGCCATGGCACTTTGTTTTGGTGCTCACCCGCTCGGGCTCCCCAAAAGGGGAAGACCGAATCGGGGACGGACCGACATTAAAATAACACTCAGCCAAGGACAAGCAAGCAAGCAGTCGGTTGTTTGACTTCTAGCATAGTCTATAATAACTACTCTTTAGTGTAACTTCTCCCAACTCCCATCTAATTCGATCACGTCATTACTGTGACATTGTGACTGTCACAAAATTTCGGTACGTAGTAGGTAACAGGTTAAAAATATGTTGTGATTCAAAATTTACCTTCAACTTTTGCATTTGAAGGTACATAACACATGTCGAAATGTCGCTGACGAAGTTCTTAAGAGCACCGATCAAACTATTTAAGAAAGAAGTCATTACGTTCTTTGTTGTGCGACGATATGATTTGGGAGGTTATTAAAACAATCTTTGGTTATTTCTTATTCATTTACTCCTGGTCAATACATAGTTTAATATTATAAATAGACTATAAATACTAAGTATCTGCATGTTCTGACATTATAAAGAATATAGATTCCGTCCCTTTTATGTCAATAAAATTCGCAAATTAATTTGAAAAATTAACCTTACTTTTAAAATTTACGATAACGTCTCAATACTTAAAAAAATAAAGCCCATGTCATGTTATCCCGCCTGGGTACCCCATCCTGGACCAGCGTCTTACATATTTATGACTGAAGTCTAGACTTCAACGACGTGATGCGATATGGGTGGCGGCATTTACATTGCCAGGTTCCTAAAAACGTTAGAATAAGATCTATAATGAGAAATTAGTTAACGTGTGATATAGTTCCTTTTTTCCCCTACCTATTCGCTGGTAGCTTAAGGGGCTATTCCAGCTACGCCCGGACGGGTAGGTGAGCTCTCGGGCTCAGCCTGAGAGAATTTGCTAACACTAGCCCTAGCAAGAGCAGTGCTTCGCAGAGTCTACCACCGGATCGGAATCGCGACCCACTGAGAAGATCTGGCGAGAAACTCAGTGTGCTGTTGCTAGGGCCAGTGTTAGCGACACTCCCGGTTTGAGCCCCTGAGGTCACCTACACGTCAAGGAGAATCAGAAATAGCCTCTCAAGGCTATCAGCATAGATAGGGAAAAAAGACCTCTTTGTTATAATCGACGAATTCGACGAGGACGGTGACCGGTACTTGAGAGACCTAAAAGCACCGAGAGTGAATCCGGGGGATCCGACAAAACATGTTTGGGGCGATGGCGGCTTTGCGTTGCCCCATCGCGGTCGGATAAGTAATTAGCGGCGGCCACGATAAAAGGGTTTTCGTATCGCGCCGTTTTGTCGAAGTAGCTAGTTCCTTATGCCGGCCACTCACATGCGCGCGAACATTTGTACATTGTGCGAATGTTCGCGCGCATGTGAAGGGCCGTCAGACATTCATTCGCAAACATAGCGGCTGTGCAAATGGGTTCGGTACTCAATTTGCGAACCCGTTTGCGCTTCCTCCTACACTTGTTTGCGAATGTCTCACAAATTTCTCTTCGTTTTTAATTCATCAATAGAACATTGAAGAGAGAAAGAGTTTTTAACTGGAAACCAGGCGTCATTAACGGCCATTCTGTTTTTATGGGATTTCTTTTGAGGGTCCCATATGATCGATTCATTTTGCAGGAGTTCAATGAACTCTATCACCTTAGTATTGTTTCATTCCATGATGAAGGTACGCTACACAGTAGACGTCACGAACTATGAAAATGGCGTAACGTCCGTTACCTTCGCAATCGTGGGCGCAACTGGTCACATGAATGTGTGGGAGACTACGCGAAGGATCGCGGTTCGCGCGCTTTAAAGTCTGTTAAAAAACCGACTAAGCTTAGAAAACCGCGAATGCAGCTAAAACTTTGCGTAATCATTTGCAAATGTCGTCCTACACTTATGGGTTGCGTATTCGTGCGAATGTGAGTGACCGGTATCACTAAGAAGTTTTTATAATTTAAGTGCGTTTCAGTAAATTTCACTTCAACTACAAATAAAAAATTTCCAAAGTCATAAAACAGACAATTAAGTACTCCTTGACGAAAGTCAACAACATTTTAAGTTAAATAATATCAGTGAATTAATGATGAATAGCTACAATGAATAGTTTACATCGCAGCGGTCGCATATAATATACTTAGGCATTCGTGATCCGAATAAAAATTCCTTTAAAATGTTTTAGTTACTGAGGATAAGCTCCGGTATGTAGCGGTAAAACCATCTGCCTCTATTTCGGTACTTCGACATAAAATATGGTTTCTTTTGAATCTACCGGACTACTGTGAGGAATTGATTATTCTCAAATCAGCCGATAACATTGAACTACCGTTAACAGCACTACGTAATGGCAACGAGCCTCAACGTCCGTACTTGTTAGAAGTTTGGCCTTCTGAAAAACGTAAACACCGTAAGTAGTCTTGTAGTCAACGAGATATTTGTGAACTAGGTGTAGAAGCATCAAATCAAATTACATGTCTGTTGTTCGAAATCAATAAAAAATATTTTATTCAAAATAATTTACATTGATCTCAACATGCATTTTTTCAATCTCTAATTTCAATTTATGCGGAACCCATTTGCCGATTTTCAAAATAGTTCACCTAGATTGCATAGAAATGGAGATGGAGATTTCTTTGAGTTTTAGTATTACTTTCATCCAATACTTAAGGCTTGAAATTTCTTGTCTGAGAACTTTTTTCCGGCTTTGGAATAAACTTCTCTTCTTCCTACCCGTGCAATGTACCTATATGAACTTAATCAAACAAAAGATTAACAAGACTGTGACCCTGGCATCGCTGCTGTACATGAGCGACAACCACTCACGATTATCTGGCCATGCAATGTCGAAATGTCCTCGATGGCAGTAAAGAGCTCATATTAACTCACTATAAGCTTATCGCTAAACTTTAATATCCACAGCGTCGACTAACATGCAATATATGCTGACACTAAGTAGCAATACTCATAAAAGTAATACAGAATCAGAATCAAATGCCCTTGAGAATTGTCCGCGCGGAACCAAAAACGGATACGACGGCAGCGGTAAGGTTGTTTTAAAATTATAACGTGTACCAAACCTAACGGTTTTAGGGCATATATTTGCGCAACAAGGACTCCAGCGGCTCTCTTTGAATAATCAATATCGATTGCATTAACATTCCACCCTATGAACCGAACCGAACCGTTAAATGGCAGAAAACTCCTACAAATTACAAGGATCACGGTATCATCCCTTACGAACGGTAGGCAGCGGCTTGGCTTTGCCCCTGGCATTGCTGAAGTTCATGGGCAACGGTAACTACTCACCATCAGGTGGGCCGTATTCTCGTCTGCCTACAAGGGCAATAAAAAAAACATTTAGTAGGTACGTACAAATGAGGATACTACTAATTTAAGACCTGATTTTGAGCTAGTAATGTCATTTATATTGAGCAGGGTTGCGTTAGAGCCCTAATAAATTCAAAAGACCGGTTTGATACCGTGTAAAATACCATATATGAAATAGAAGAGATAAAATAAGCTATATAGATGAAAAACTTGATTGCATACAAAAACAGTGAATTTCGTATTAATGCAAAAAAGGAATCGATCGCCTAAAACCAGATGACCATGTTAAACTAAGACTTTTATTGAACAGATCTTAGGCGCAAATTGATAAATTCCTTTGCAACAAATTTTGCATCATGCGAGATGTAAACAGACAATTAACACTTTAAGTCAAAATGTTTCATAAACATACCAATTTCTTGAATAATTTAAAGCTTACGTACGTACTTATTTATAGGCTTGTCTTTCTACTCCTCTAGAATTCTCAGGAGACAGTGCGAGTAGGTAGGTTCCAATTTCGTGTCTATTTCTGCACTAGTGAGTTCCGGTTTGAAGGGTAGGACACTGACAGTTTTTACACAAATGTGACCGACCAGTTTACCACCCTTTCTATTTGATGATTTTCATCAATTTCATACTAACTGTGATCATATATTTCTTAATATGATTTCAAGAAATTCACAATTATTACCGACCTGTCTCCAGTTTACCCACTTTCTATTTGATGATATTCATCAATTTCATAAGTACTTTCTGTGATCTTATACTTCTTAATATGATTTAGAAGCAATTATCACGCAATAGTCGTTTGCAATAATAATTTTATTTTTCAGTTACATCAACAATATCACATGTTAACAATCCTTTGCACATCGATGAACGTAAGCCAGTTAATAGTTTCTACGCAGACTACAAGAAGTCCGAACTGTCTTGCAGAGTTTCTAGTACTTCGTTCTTTAAGATTAATGGGAAGAAGAGTCGGGATAATTTCATACATGTACTGCTAAAAATACAAAGCGATTTGTCGACATTGAGCAACAAACTTTCTACTTTGGAGAACAAAATACCGGTTTGAGTAAAATATCACTAAAGTCGTTTTTTTTTATTATTTCAAATCACGTGATGATACGCTTACCTAATCAGACATTTGTAACGTGCTAAGTACCTAAATGTTATTTAAGCTAGGATTTACTGTTGCTTAACTAAATACCGGTGGCATCACATTTTTAAAAATAATTTCAGAACTGTCAAAATTTGGTCGAATTCATTGGTTAGTGTTGCCCATGCCCTACGTTAGGTTGACTTTTTTTATCTTTTTTCTTGAACGACGTTTATGATCCGCCTGGTATCACCGTTATCAGAACAAAATTAACATAATAAGTAACAGTAACCTTGAAATATGAGACCCAAGTTTCTATTTTTGTGTTTCGTAGTTATGAGTAAGGAAGAACTCAGCATACATACATACATAGGTACGGGCACGGAATAGATAAATAAGGTTGGAAAGGCCTTTGCTCTAATTTTGTATTAGAACCAGTGTCGCCGCTTCATCCCCACTATTTTAATTTCTACACATACACACACTGTGATTAAAAGTATTTCGCACACAACAAAAACACCCACACATAAATCTCAGGACAGATATTCGTTCGCAAACTAGCACAAAACACCCGTAGGCATACACACTCACACACGCAAAAAGGCAATAAAAATGTTCATACACGCTAGTGCTTGATAAAATCGATATTCTTTATCGATAAATTATCTGATGAATGAATGGAGAAAATGAAACATGAAATAAATATTGAAAAAAAAAACTATTTTACTTTTATTAATTACAAATAGTCACTGTCGCTGGAATAAAACGTATTTGTTAAGCAGTTGGCGCTTGCTATTAATTGCGAATGAATTTTTCAAAACTAAGTGTATTCTGATTTTTTTTATGATAAAATCATTTTCAGTAAAATGTTTAGAGCAAATAGTACTCGTCTTTGTCTCCAGTTTCCTCTACCTGTCACGTCAATCCATTGTTCCCTGGCGTTAGGTTCTTTAGGAAACCTAAAATTTTTAATTTACTGCATAAGTCAAATAGCATTTTACTTAGATTTTAATACGTCTTAGACAATATAGTAAATACCCGTAAATTAGAGGTCTACATGTCCCTTTATATTATACCTTCACTTTAATTCAATGATAATAATTCAATAATAATAATACATATTTATTTTACTCAAAATACGTCTCACTAAGAATATACTAGGTATCATTAATTAAATATAAAATAATGCAAAAATTATCCATGTCAAATGTAAATATAGTCGAGAATTCTGTCGATGAATTTATTTCACCACATGGTCACCTCACTATCGACAAACTGCACGGCCAATCAGGGCAAAGGCCGAAATTTCAAAGATTGAAGTGTAGAGAACGCAATGCATGTAGTACATTAGAAGCTGACTTGGTCGTTGCGTTCATTGGGCGAGTACACATCGCGCAATGTATGCTATTTATAACTTGCTGCAATAATATTGTTAATGTTTGGAATTTCATAATGCTCAGTATATTTTTATGTTTTAGACAAATATATTGTAATTAAATGGTAATTTCGACTTCCCGATCGAAAGATATACCTCCTCGCTCTATACTTGAGGTCTGATTTTTTGTTTTACAAGTTATAATTGCACAACACGGCACTATAAAGCGGAGATCTGTTCGCCAAGTAGTCCGAAGCGCACTAAACGCGGTGAATGAAAGAATCGGTCGAGTTATGTTTGTTTATCTATTCCGTGGGTACGGGTATGTCCAAGGTCGTAACGCCCAATAATCAGTAGCAAAAATACTATCAAATACTGATGGATGATGCGAAAATAGTATTAGTAATTCTAAGCGACAATGGTTATTAGCATATTGTAATTAAAATTTAATATCATGCCTGACCATGACATTTTCCGATACGTTTATGTTCACCAGAAATTATTTACGAACAAAACACGACCGGTTTTTTTCATAAGACTAATGGAGTACATCCTATGAACACGATTCACATTGTGATAAAATTAAAGTGTAGTTCATATTCAAAATAGTTTATTCTATCCTAGGTATATAACTTAACAATAACAAAACATGTACAGCTCTTTTTAATTTGGATATCAAAGACAAAAGGTTGGTTATAATTAATTTCAATGATTCAAAATAAACATTTAAATTCGGCATTGGCTCTAACGAATACAGACCACGCAACTGTGTTTAAGATAAAATTTGTTGACATATAATTGTTTTAAAAATAATTTTGTCTATGTGTAACACACGGTATAACGAATAGGGACCGAGAGGAAAACGGAAAAAAATTATACATAAGAATCCACATATAGGTCATTATACAAAATAAAATCTTAGTTTGCTTCTATTAAAAAAGTAGACTACCATTACAAATGAGGTATCATCCTGTAGACTAGTTATTGACTAACTAATTCAGTAGCATCTCACTATTTTAGAACAAATACATACAAGCACCTTAACATTTTTATTATTAATTTAAGAACACAATTATACCTTTTATTACATGTCGCACGCTTAATCATAAACTGACCGATTACGATTTAGGTCTAAAGTGAGATAATATAACGGGCAGCTTTGTATCGACACCCTCTATCGGCCAAATTAAGATTTATTTCGATATCTCTTTTACACACTGAGTTACCGTTATTTTGGTCTCTTTCACTCAAACGAGTTTGGACAAGACTTTTCATGTGACACTGTCGTAAGTCATTATACNTCGCACGCTTAATCATAAACTGACCGATTACGATTTAGGTCTAAAGTGAGATAATATAACGGGCAGCTTTGTATCGACACCCTCTATCGGCCAAATTAAGATTTATTTCGATATCTCTTTTACACACTGAGTTACCGTTATTTTGGTCTCTTTCACTCAAACGAGTTTGGACAAGACTTTTCATGTGACACTGTCGTAAGTCATTATACGTTAATCGTTCTAAAAGTGAACTGCTCGTGATTTTATTTTATAGCGACCAATTATTAGTTAGGTCAGTATATTATAAAAAATCAGGTAAGTTTTAGTTCAATTATTTATACAATAGTGACCAATTACATAATGAGGCAGTTTAGTACAATAAGTATAATATTATTTATATGTTGTTTAGAATTTTGGTCGGTCTTTTATAAAAATTGTTAAATTAATGTATGACTATATATGAGTTGAGCTTATTTTTGATAAATTACCACCTTGAATTTTTGGAACGATTTGTTGTTATTGGGAGTTAGATCTGTTTTATATAAAAGTATTTTAAACATCCAATGCCTTATTTTGATATAGTTACTTTTATTGCAAAACAACATGAACGATTATAAAATTAGCTTGCTCGTATTTAGCATTGTGTCATTTATTGATTAAAATTATTTCTTAAATAAATAAAGCTAACTTAGACCTTTAATATGTAAATATTTTTAGGATGACTTCAAGGTCGAAAAAGATATTAGATATGATCAATTGTAGTACAACGCCACTCGATGAGCTTCATTCCGATGAAAACCAGGCTCCGAATGAATGTTTGCTTCAAGCTGGTCATGTGGATTGTACTAAATCTCCAGTCCATGTGAATTTATCTAACCATAATAAGGTGCCAATGGATGCACTTGAAAATGTTTCAGCCCAAAATTCTGCTGTAGATGTAGTGGTAAATATTAAGATTATTTTCTACAATCATGCCATCACGTCCATGCCAGGTCCATCTTTATAGAGACAACAGATTTCCACTTTTCCAGTTTTTCCCTTTCACGACTGGCCTTCACGTAACAAAACGACTAGCCTAAAGCTTCGTGACCGTAGCGATTTTCATAAATGAAAATATAATATTTTATTAAATACAATTATTAGAATAATTTAAACTATTGTTGTAGATGTTATCTGATATCATCAACAAACCCGAAAACCAGCGTTATTGTGATGTCAACACCTATTTTGAGCTGGATGAACTGGCACATAAAAAATACGTCAATAGAAAAAGAGACTATGTCAATTACAATGTGTCTCCCTTAAATTCTGATGAACCAGACGCAGACTTAAGTGATCAGGATCCGACGTATGACCTTCAAAACGAGATGAAGAAAGTTAAGCACGTTCCTGCCTTATTACGACGAATATCTTCTTCCAGCAGCTCATCGTCATCTAGCAGTTCCTCTTCATCGAGCTCAAGCGACTCCTCGTCGTCAAATTCCAGAAGTTCTGATTCGCTAATTGCTCACTTACAAAATACTACGTTGCCCCAAATTTCTACCTTGTCCGAAAATATTATCTTGCCCGAAAATTCTAATTTGCCTGAAAATTCGAGTTATCTTAATGCAGTAGAGGATGAAACAGAGATAAAAAAAAGAGGTAGGAAACGCACTAGTGATCGAAATAAATGGAAACAAAATGTCAAAAAGTTTTTGAAAAATAGAGGACAATCTTTCGTGTCTTCTAAAAGAGGACAAGTACCTGCCCGCGAACTTAAGCCACCTTGCAATGTAAAGTGTAGGCTTAAATGTTCTAAAAAATTTACATCTATTGAAAGACAAGCTATTTTTGACTCTTTTTGGGAAATGGGTGACATTGATCAGCAACGATCATTTATATATTATAGTATGTCTGACGTCAATCCTAGGTATAAATACACTAACGCTGAACGTCCGAGACAGCCCAATAAGGCTTTTCACTTTACTTTGAAAGGAAAGTCAGTCCGTGTCTGTAAACAATTTTTTATCGGAACTCTCAATATTTCGGATCGTTTTATTCGCACAGTTAAAGAAAAAACTGATAAGCTTGGCGTTCTGCAAAAAGATCGCAGAGGAAGACATGATAACCATGCCACTAATGATGAAAGTCTTATTTCCGATATAAAATCTTTCATTGATGCCATACCGAGAATAGAGTCACATTACACAAGGCAGACTTCCAGCCGCGAATATATAGATGGAGGAAAAACCATCACTGATCTTTTCAAAGATTTTACAGAAGCCCAAAAAAAAAGCAATAAGCCATTTGGTAAATATTGCACGTTTTATAAAGTATTCACAAAGCAGTACAATATATCATTTTTTTGCCCTCGAAAAGACCAGTGTGATCTATGTTTGCAGTATATAAATTCTAGCGTTGAAGAAAAAAACCAGATTCGTGAAAAATATGAGCTTCATCTAGAAGAAAAAAACCTTACTCGTCTAGAGAAATACAATGATAGATGCAAAATAAACGATAAATGTAAAGTTCTGGTTTTCGATCTTCAAGCCGTTTTACAATCACCAAGAGGAAACACATCGGCTTTTTATTATAAATCGAAATTAAATAGTTATAACTTAACTGTCACTTTTTTAAACAAGAAGGTTGATGGACAAAGCAAAGACTCCTATTCTGATGTACATTGTTATTTATGGAACGAAACTGATGCCAAACGCGGTGCCAATGAAATAGGCTCCTGCTTACTAGATTGTTTTAAAAGGCTCTGTCATGAATCAAGTGATAGCAATGGCGATGGCTTAAATTTGATTCTTTATTCTGATAATTGCGTGGGACAAAACAAGAACAAATATATAATAGCTCTTTATCTCTATGCATTAACACAGCTTAACATAGAATCTATAACACACAAATTTTTGATCAAAGGACACACTCAAAATGAGGCCGATAATGTACACAGCCTCATAGAGAAAGCAGTTAAAAAAAACTTGAAGTCAGGACCAATATACTCTCCCCATCAGTATGTGACTATTATTAAAAATGCCAAAAAGTCTGGACAAAGGTTTTTTGTACATGAACTAACTTACGATTCATTTTTGGATTTGAAGAAACTTCAAGAAGATTGGGGATACAATTTCAAAGACACCGAAGATAAAACCTATATATTATGGAACGATATAAAAATTTTAAGGGTTGAAAAAAGTGAACCATTCTCGTTTTTTGTTAAAACATCATATAACGATAAAGAGTTTACAAAAGTGTGTCTAAGAAATAAAAGGAGAAAAATGAAACCTTTGCATGAGTTGACACCATCAAAAGCATACACTGGCAAGCAGATATTAAACGAAAAGAAAAAGAAGGATATAAAAGAATTAATGGATAAAAATTTTATTCCCAGTTTTTATAAAGATTATTACAATAGTATTTTATAAATACTGGTACATATTAATAATGTTGATTATTGATTAAATTTTATTTGATCTCAGATTATATTAAGTGCAATGATGATAGTATTATTACAAATAATGATGCTGAGCTGAGCCTTTTTTAAGGATTTAAGCAAAATGCTACCTACTTACCTATTTTTAAATGGTTTTTTTTTTCTTCATTTATTGTTTGTTTTAGAATTAAGTTTTTGCAGTTGTTACTGAACCACTAGTACCTAATTAATACTAAAACTTATATTATTAAATCGGCTTATTAATATTTTTAATGGCCATAGAGACTAATCATACCCCGATACTGAGGAATTTTATATTGTTCCTATGTTAACTTTATTTTATTAATACATTGAGCTCACCGGTTATACAAAATTTTGATTGTAATACAAACATTTATATTGTTAGAATTATTATTGATGAAAATTCTCGTACTAAGCTAAGATTCATCAGATCTTAGTGAATAAGTTTTGTTTTGAATATTTTATTTTTGTATTCACGTACGTAGTAAATGACTTAAGTAAAACAAAAAGTCTCATTATTTTATTCTTTATAGACTTTAAACGTAATACACACATTTTTTGGTGACACATTTAATAAAATATAGGCATACTCTTTAAAGTGTCTTCACTAGTATGGTTATAAAAATGTACTTTTAATCGAAAACAGACTCATCTCGGAGACATAATTTTTGAACTAATATTTAATATAATAAATAATAAAATTTCTTCAAAATAACATTTAAATACCATTAATCACTTGANAAATTTCTTCAAAATAACATTTAAATACCATTAATCACTTGATTAACTACCAATAAAATACATAATTTGTTACTATCACAACGTTTTTATCGAGTTATAAGTCAATATATGGGATAAGTAGTAAATGATAAAACGTTTTTTGCGATTTCCCAAAAAACAGGTTTTTTGAGTTAGGTCAGTTTATGATTAAGCGTGCGATGTGTAAACTAATTTATAATTTTTATACCATTTTTGATTTAACTTTGGAGAACAGCAATAAGTTACCCTAAAAAAGTTTACTTACATCATTTTATATAAATACGCTTATAAAATTAGTCAATTCTCACTACATATATAGGCTTTAGAAAGAATGTTTTTTATAATATTAATGTATCACATAAATTTAAATATACACTGTACAAGTAAAGCACCAGCATGGTCCAACTAAATTTTAAATTTAAGTATTGTCTTCTAAATATAGACTTCTCTTTCTGTAACAAAAATATTTTAAATAAACAACATTTTTATTACAATTCACATTGTTAGGTGTGTGAAATTTAAATTTGCACTTTAATCTCGTGTTTACTCAGAATCTAATGAAGTTTTCCAGTCTTTTATGACCATGAGACTAATTTTGCGAAATCTCAAAATAGTTAACTTCACCATTTAAATGGTTTTGATAAGAAGTTGTCAGCCAAAAGACAATTAACTGTTAATTTGCTTATCTTGACATTAGATATACGCGTCATTTTTTGATAATTTATTTTTAATTAGTTTTTCAATCACACAAAAAAAATACTTACATTAATTTCTTCTCTATATGCGCTTTGTATGCAGCATTTACTCATTACAACAAAACCACACATTCTCTCTTGTGTTCCTAGAGCATATTCTATACTACGGATTAAGTCATTGGTTTTGAGAACCAATAATGCTTGCCGGTCCACATGCTCCAGGCAATCAGTGATATGATGGAGAATGTTAGGCAATTCGTTTTGGAAAGTTGATTTCTGAAATTTTATTTTAATTTACATGTATACATGTCTGTTAAGTATTATATCTGATTTATAAGTTTATTTTGAGAACTAAATCATACAATGTGTCCCACAAGGTCATAACAAGTCAAAAACTTTAGTATTCTATTAGTATGATTCGGCGGAAAAAAGAAACCCAAGTAAATGGTTTCAGAATCTGACTACTGGAACATAACAATCAAACAATTTTCTGCAAACCCTTGAATTATGTTTTATTCAAGATACCATAACATTATTCGTAGTAAAAAAATATAGGTGGATGCATATCAAAAGATACGAATTTGTGTTTATATATTTATTGCTCAGTTAGGTGAACTAGCTCACAGCCCACCTGGTGTTCAGTAGTCACTGGAGCCCATAGACATTAAGAACGCAAATGTCGCCACCTTGAGACATCCGTTCTAAATCCTTTTTACAGTACAAAGCTACCCTTCAAACTTGGGTTTGAACGCATTATTACTTTACGGCCGAAATAGGCAGGATGATGGTACCTACCCCTGTGGATTCACAAGACGTTCTCACATTAGTAAACATATACTGGTAGAAAATTCCCTACCACCATTAATAGTGCAAGATTATAAAAAAACACATTTTAGATATAAATACCTCTTCTGAAGATGGCTTAGTTTTGCCAATTCCTTTCATAATAGAATCCCAAGGTCTACCCGTTACCATACAAGCAAACAAACCATACAATTCATTTCGAATACCTAGCTGCTCTGCATGTACTTTCATTTCTTGACGATTTCTGTCTATAATGGATAGCCACAATTTTGAATAGTGATATCTGAATTTATCCGAAAGTTGCTGAAAAATATAATTATTTTTAAATATTAATGATTATTATTATTATTATTTATTTACTAACAATCACGCCACATTAACTGGTCCCGTGCTAAGCTCGTAAAGAACTTGTGTTACAGGTATCAGATAACGGAAATAGATGTAATTTTTTTATTATACACATACATATATTTAATAAACATCCATAACACTGGAAAAGTCAATTTATATTTATCATACAAATATCTTCCGTTGGCGGGATTGGAACCTGCGACCGCTTTGTGTAGTGACCATGTCACTTACCACTATACCAGACGGCCGTTTATTAGACATAATTTATTCTAATTGTTAAAAGATTTAAAACTTAACTAACATTTTTGACGAACTTTATAGTGTAATCACTAGATCACATAAATCTTTGCATTTATTTATTCTAATTGTTAAAAGATTTAAAACTTAACTAACATTTTTGACGAACTTTATATTCTAATCACTAGATCACATAAATCTTTGCATTTGGAATCATTATACTCTAAAAATATGAATGACCTGTTGCTTGAACGATTTATCCAAATTTTCTTTAAAAATTAGTCATCATCGTGTGCAAAATGCAGTTGATACCTACCCACAATTGTCCATCTTGATGAATGTAAGCTTTTATAATTACCTGTCCTAACCGACCAACTCACTAATACATCAAAGGAGAGCCCTTACGGATTAACAATATTGGCAATTGAACTCATTAATGTTATGAAAGTATTTTAGTAAAATTCACACATAAGTGTGATAGTTGAAAAAATAATTAAAAACACAGTATTTTAATTTTTAGGTCAATTACCTATAAAAATTAAGGTGAACAGATTAAAAAGCTGAAAAAAGTTATTAAGCATAAAGTATTCATAGTTCAGGATAAAAATAACCACTAAAATTTAAAAATCTAAATTAAAAATATTTTATCTAAAACATCATTCAGTTTTCTTAGAATGTGCTTAAATTACCCAGGTTTACCCATTTACAACTTAATAAAATAGTAAGAAAACCAATTTATTTTGAAATGAATTGGTGTGAATTGACGTGGTGGTAGATTTAGGGAAGCATTACTTTTGCTACGGCAGATGTTAACAAAATATCTCAGGCTGAGCCCTGTGAGTCTACCGCCTAACTATCGAGTGATATTCTAAACTGTAATGACAGATTCACTCTCCTAATTCTATAAAATAGCAGCAATGCCTTTTAATTTCAAGGGTGGTATAGCTGCTATGCAATTTAGATTTCAACATCATGTCACTTAACACTAGTTGTACATCTTGTTTGCCTATTAACACATAAATAAAAAATCTTGTTGAAAATTTTTGTGCAGGACGAAATAGGGTTTTTTATAGTTTAAGAAACAAATAGATTTAATTTAACCGTTACTAAGTGATTACGTAATAAATGTATAATCTTAAGTTATTTTATAGTCAATATGTTAGTGGATCAGATCAGATAATGTAAATATACCAATAGGAACGATTTGTGGAGTGCTTTCGCTACGGTAACATACAGATCAAGGGACCCTCCGAATGTGGCGCAATGATTGCGCGTCGCGAGATGGGGTACTGATATAAATATAAAAGAAGGGCCATTTATAGGCAAAAACAGTTCTCGACAGTTCTCCGATAGAAACAGACAGTTCTCAGAAGCTCTCCGACAAAGAAACATCAGCAAGACAGGAACAGTTACCAGCAGTTCTCTGATGAAAACCACCAGTGAATCAGCTACCAGTGAACCAGACAGTTACCTGTGAAACCTCGCTACAGAAACCGAAACCCATCGAAAGAAACAGCCGTCTTCTACCAGCGCACAAACAGACAGCAGAAAATATTATCACACGACTCGGAAACATCCATACAGACTTGGTCGTATACAATTTTTAAAGTTTTGTTATGTTAGAAATTACAGCATCGTTGATAACATGCTGTTTAATGATTTAGAAGATATTGAGATAGCATGCATCTACAAAGAATTAAAAAATGGATGAACAAAACAATGACTTACCGCATATAACCCATGGTCCAGCAAATAGACTGTTACATCCTTGTCTCCTGGAGCTTTTTTAACCAGTATATTCCCTGGATGTGGATCACTGTGCACAAAACCAGTTATGAAGATCATGTGGGAGTAGAGATCACCAAGCTTCTTACATAAATCATATCTGTTGATTTTATGTGTCTAAAAATATAATGCATAAATAAATAGATAAACACATGTTTTATTACTAGGCATTCCCAGAGTTTTGTGCATAATCATTCCATTACATATTTTGATGTTTCGATGTTTCATAAGCTGCATTTTTTTTACTAAGAGGCAGTTTTTCCTTAATAACATTTATATATTAAAATATTTTGAAATTTGCATAATTATAAACAACATAGGTAAAAAGTAAAAGTTACACTTACATCAATATAATTAACATCATTAACTTGTCCACCGTAAACATATTCCATGACCAGCACTCTCTCTGTACTGTAATCCCAGAAAATCTTTGGAACCTTCAGCCATTTGTAATTACTGAACAATTCAGCTACCTTCTCTGCATTTTGACCCTCTTGCAGGAAATCCAGCTCTTTTGCAATGTTTTTCTTCGTTTCATCCACTAGCCATTGCATTTGGAAGTCAGGAAATACTTTTGACATTGTGTTTATAATAAATTCCATCCATTTTAAGTCAATCTTAATATTTTTCCTCACAAAATGATGTTGTACTTTGACCGCAACTTCAGTACCATCTTTTAATTTTGCTTTATGAACTTGTGCTAGTGACGCTGTGCCCAGAGGTTCAGGTTCAAAGTCGTCAAACAGTTCCTTTGGCTGAATAAATGAAATAGTTTGTCAGTACATTAAAATACCTTACAACTTCTAATAAGTTATTAGATATTGAACGTTAAATTTTTAATGAGCTTAATAACAAAAAAATATATATATGAGTCGTCTATTATCAAAGGTGGCAACAGATTGATTTGAATATAATCATCTCCTTCAAAGAATACGGTTCAAAACATGCATTAAATAAAGGTTAATAGTTAACCTGTTATTTATCTAAGATGTCGTTCCGAAGAGTTTTGTGACTGCCAATGGAATACAAAGTCAATAATTCGTTTTTCTGATTCAATCATCCAATCATTGTCCAAAAGTCAGATTGCCGGCTTTGATAATAGTCGACTCATATATAACAATAACAAATTTGTGTTATATTACACCATGACATTCTTGTAAAAATAAATAGTAAACGCAATAATAAATCTCCAATGTATTTTATTACTTACATCCTTTTTCAAATCTTCCCTGATGACATTGTATAGTTCTTCGACTGTGTTTTGAGGCGCATCTTTATGCAAAACACGCATTGTTTTGACATATTCAGTAGGCAACAAGTAATCTAACGCGCCTACGTGCTGTCCAACTTTAATGTACACACCTTTGTTAGCTTTGCATAATTCAAGCAGTTTCTCTGCCCCAATTTGATGAGCTTGTTTCTTCACTTCTAAATACTCGGGGGACGATCTATCCCAATCTTTGCTGTACAACAAAGACTGGTAAGTCCTGCCTATGTCCACAGCAGTACATGCTGTCCTCGTGATTCTGACGATGGCTAACGAATTATAATCACCATCATGAAATTTTAAAGCAGTTACACAACCACCAACAGCAACACCACCATAAAAGCCGTATTTTATGATCCTAGTCAACTTTCTGGAGAACATGTTGATTAAAAGGGAAAATAATTATTTTAGGGACATAGCAAAAGCCAATTTAAATAGTGAGTAATAATTGTGACATGAACTTTGACTTTGAACTAATGTATCACTAACAAATCACTTAAATTATTTTTTAAGCACTGAATCTAGAAAATAAAAACTACCGATTCCTTTTTCTTTTTATATTCAAAAAGTATTTAAATTTTAAACACTAGGTATTACCGCAGGTACCGTACATACCTACATACTACATAGTACTACATACATAGCCTGTGCACGACTGCACACTTTATTTTATTTTATTTTACTGACTTGGAAACAAAGTCTTTTAAGCCAAATCAGTATTTCTGTTCAACTGCTTTTTTTTAAGGTATTTTATGACCTGGTAACTAAAACTTTTAAGACATGTCTTATTTTAATTTATATTCTTATTTTTATGAAAAAGAATAATGTGAAATCAAACGAAATGAAAACTACTTCACCTCTCGGGCTCCCCCCAAAAAGTTCCAACTGTATTTCTATGTCAACCATAAGTTCATAACATAGGTTATCTTTTATGGAAAAGCAACCAAAATTTATTGTATTAAATATCAAATGAACTTAAATAGAAATCTCCTAGGTCTTCATAAAATCTTCAACCAAAACAAAGAGTTCCTACTTTTTTAAAGATTTTGTTGCGTGGTAACGCGATCTTTATGCCATCATTTTAAATCCTAGCTCTCCTAAGCTAGCTAAGATGCCTATTCATGTGTTCTTTAATTACATCACTAGCATTGTAAAACTAATAGGGGTTAAATTATGAAATTGCCGTTCTATTGTAATAGGTTCTTCGAATTGACATAGAACCTTCATGGTTTGAGATTTTTAGTGAAACTTTTTTCAAATCGTACCTATGAGGTTCTTCTTTTGAAAAATGTGGAACATTCTATTATCAAACAGACAAGAACTTAGATAAGAACTATGTTTAAACACTAAATGATAAAAAAAAAACAATTCCCACAATTAAGTTACATTCCCGCCAAAAGATACGCTTCTGTGACTATTCAATTTTGCTAATCAATACATGTTATGAATTTACTAAAAAGAAGGATTAGCATATTTCATTTTACCATTGTCACTATATTTCAGAATTTTAATGTATAATACTGGTACGAACTATTATTAGTGCTGTACCGATTAACTCTCGAACGAGAGCTGAAATCACATAAATGGTGGGTGGCATAGTCCATAGGGTGGTGCGTCCTACCGGTAATGACTTACGGAGCCGAAACGTGGACACTCACAGTACGGTTGGTCCGTCAGCTCAAAGTCGCTCAGCGAGCCATGGAAAGAGCCATGCTCGGAGTTTCTCTGAAGGATAAAATCCGGAATGAGATTATTCGACAGAGAACTAAAGTCATCGACATAGCTCAAAGAGTCAGCAAGCTGAAGTGGCAGTNACGTGGACACTCACAGTACGGTTGGTCCGTCAGCTCAAAGTCGCTCAGCGAGCCATGGAAAGAGCCATGCTCGGAGTTTCTCTGAAGGATAAAATCCGGAATGAGATTATTCGACAGAGAACTAAAGTCATCGACATAGCTCAAAGAGTCAGCAAGCTGAAGTGGCAGTGGGCTGGCCATATATGCCGTAGGACTGACGATCGCTAGAGCAGACGGGTTCTCGAGTGGAGACCGCGCAGCGGAAGACGTAACGTGGGACGCCCCCTGGCTAGATGGTGCGATGACCTCCGCACGGTGGCCGGCAAGAAGTGGATGAGGAGAGCCGCAGACCGGGCTCAGTGGTGTAGATTGGGAGAGGCCTATGTCCAGCAGCGGACGACTGTGGGCTGTTGATGATGATAGTGACGCCACTGTTTCACTTAAAACGTGAACGTATATTGTGATATCAATAAGCTCCAATAACCACTTAACACCAAGTAGACCGTGAGTTTGTTCACAGGACTAAGTAATAAAAATAACTACCGACCCGGTTATCATATTATAAGATTAACTGCTGTTTATTAAAAATTAGGTATTTACTATTAACTTATTAACTATTAGGCACTCGTGTCTTAGTCACTGTAAGTTTAATAGCGACTTACATAGATTATACACTTAAGCGACTTACTTGTAGGTAGTTAAAAATAGCGTAGATTATACTTTAGAATAGTGCCAACGCTAGTCTGGTCGCCATTTTTTTCTTTACGTCAGTTTTCCGTTTCCGCTGACAAAGTCTTTCAGATAAAAACTCCAAAAATGAAGGCTAAAGGACAGGTAAGAATTGTGTATTATATGTGTAATATATAGAATTTGTGAAAAAGAATGCCGTTATATGCTCAGGAACTCTTATTAGTATATAAATTAATCAAGTATTGTACAATAGTGGTAGTGAATTACTCTGAAACGGCTGTGATGTCAACCAAACACGCTGTCCCCGGGATTTGGCGTGAATAAGGTTCTTAATTAGTAAATTATGTGAAAATATAATCTTAAGTTATGAACATAATAATGTAGTTATATATTCACGTAGCTGTATTTATTGTGAAATAACGAATAAAGCAAGAAATATTTTAAGGTTATGTCATATTGTGTTGCCGAAATTAACCAAACACCATGCTTTTCTCCGTGCCATACTACACATGCCTCCTGATCGAAAATCGTAGACATGACACTAGATATTTACCAGGCTCCCTTCTTTGAGTCTATTGAAAGTAACCTGAAGTGTTTACAACGTTCACGTTGTCAATGTATTATGATTCTTAGATCTTCTCAGTGGGTCGCGTTTAGTTACTTTCGTTTGTTAACGTTTTCCAATTAATTTGATGCCTTTATATAATAAAAATATATAAGTATCATAGATATTGGGAACCAATAAAAATTTACCAGTTCCTGATATTATCCTATTATTTTACGTCACCAAATTCTCTCAAAGATCCATAGAATTTTATTGAAAATGTGTTTTTTTTTTGCAGTTGAGGGAATATGAGGTTATCGGCCGTAAGCTCCCGTCGGAGAACGAGCCCAAACCTCCCTTGTATAAAATGAGAATTTTCTCTCCGGATCCAATTGTCGCCAAATCTCGTTTCTGGTATTTCCTGAGACAACTTAAGAAGTTCAAGAAGACCACTGGTGAAATTGTCTCTATTAAGGTTAGTTACATAGAAATATAGCTGAAGTTTGAGAATAATCTAATATATAAAATTCTCGCGTCACAATGTTCGTTCCCATACTCCTCCGAAACGGCTCGACCGATTTTCGTGAATGCATATCGGTCAGGGTTGAGAATCGAACATCTATTTTTCATCCCCCTAAATGTTAAGGGTCCACCCCTAAATATTATTTGTTATTTTTTAGACAAAAAATTTTGTTTTTATTTTTTTATGATACAGCATACAAAAATACATACAACCCTAAATTTTCACCCCTCTACGATCAACCCTTATTTTTAATTTGCTAATTAAAAACTTTAAAATTTTTTGTGAGAATTTTGTTTTAATTTTGTCATGAGGTAGAATAAAAAAATTCATATTACTCTGAAATTTTCACCCCTCTACGATCAACTCCTATTTTTTATTTGTTAATTATAAACTTTAATTTTTTTGGCAAGATTTTCATTTTTTTTTATTATTTTGTCATGAATTAAAATAAAAAATCTGATGTTACTCTCAATTTTTCATCCCTCTATGATCAACCCCTATTTTTTATTTGTTAATTATAAACTTTCATTTTTTGGCTAGTTTTTTATTTTGTTTTGTCATGACTTAAAATAAAAAAGTCATATTACTCTCAATTTTCACTCTTATACGATCAACCCTTATTTTTCCATCCCGATTAATCTTTTTTTTATTCTATGCACAGATCCGCAATAAGGTTGCAAGATGGCAATCAAATATTATAATTGTAGTATACAATAAATTCTTATTCAGAGTTTATAATCTCAAGTTCCTTTAATTATGATTTTTTTTAAATTGAATTTGATCTCCCGCCCTCGCTGGTCGACTACTGATCAACTATCAATCGATCAGCTATCCCCGCCAGGTATCACCACTCATCCAGCAAACATCACGTAGTAGGGATGAGGACGAAGCCGGTATTCTGTCTTACTTACTCACTATACATCATAGATTATACACTTAATATATTTGAGAGCTATACATTTTTCAGCCATGTTTTTTTTTTGTTTTATTTGTGTATCAAATAGTATGTTCACAGTAGGTCTGAGAATCGGCTACTAAATCATCCCATCTGACAGTAATTATATGTTCCATTTGTTTTCACCAAATGCAAACGATTAGGATATAAATAGGATTTGATTAACTACAATGTATGTTTCAATTGTATTTTACTAGTATCTATTTGTGCCCACAAAGTGCCCTACCACCAATAAAATGTTGAACTTGTACAGCTCAGTAAAAAGTACAGCACCACTTACTATATATTATATATATATTATAGTCTTATAGTTATTCTACTAGCAGCTGTCTGTTACATGAATTCTATAATGGAGATTGTAAGCCCAATATTTCAGCAACAACAGAGCAGACTACCTGATATCAACTTATTTATTTATTCAACTTGCCAAGTAATTAACACTATTCATGAGGAGTAGGGGGGCCTACCCAAGCTATTGTCTTAAATTTGATGATATTTCTTTATAATAGTCTTGGATCTTTATGTAACTATGTAATAAGTAATCTTAAGTAGTGGGTAAAATTTGTGCGCCAATAAGGGAAAGTGAATGACAGTATTATTTTGTACAGGCAGGTACAATATTTTCTAAGTAAAAACCTACAATACTAAACACTTGTTATGAAGTAAAATAAATAAATTTTCATTCATGATTCTCATGTCAACAAACAATTTGCTTGATGATTATTAGGATTTGATTAATTTTAAGCTAGATAAGTGTGACAGCTGTTTAAAATAACATTCGGGCTGCAATTATGAGCTCTTGTAACCACTTATCATTTCATGATGTATAAGCTAGTTCGACCATATATGCAATAAAACAGAAAGACAATTGTCAAT